ACCGGGTTTCACCGGAAACAACAAATCCGGTTCGAACCGGTTTCATTGTTTTAATCTTTTATATAAACCTTTCATGCCATCTGTGTGACTCACCCAAAGCAAACACAACAACACTCAATCTCAACCCAAGAACACAGAGAAGAGAGAAAAAAAATGGCGACGACAACAACAGAAGCAACGACGACTACGAATGGAGAAGATCAGAAGCAATCTCAGAATCTCAGACACCAAGAAGTTGGCCACAAGAGTCTCTTACAGAGCGACGATCTCTACCAGGTTTCTTTTCCCCTTCTCAAAACGATTCTGAGAGATTGTTTTGATTCAATCCAACAATAACTCCTAAACCTTGATAATTAAAAACACATGCAGTATATATTGGAGACAAGTGTGTATCCAAGGGAACCCGAATCAATGAAGGAACTCAGGGAAGTGACAGCTAAACATCCCTGGTTTGTTTTCTTATATCCTCGTTTCGAATTACGTTTTTAAAACCAAAAAACCAAGATCCAAGTTGTCAAATAATTCTCAATGGATCAAATCAAACAGGAACATAATGACGACATCAGCAGATGAAGGACAGTTTTTGAACATGCTCATCAAGCTCGTTAACGCCAAGAACACTATGGAGATCGGTGTTTACACTGGTTACTCTCTTCTCGCCACCGCTCTTGCTCTCCCTGAAGACGGCAAAGTATGCATATCTATCCTCCTCTGTTTCTTTCATATGTAGAAACAGAGTCCAAGTACTGGAAATTGATAATTCTCATTCGTTTGTTTTGTAATCAATCCTCAGATTCTTGCTATGGACGTTAACAGAGAGAACTACGAATTGGGTTTACCGATCATCGAGAAAGCCGGTGTTGCTCACAAGATCGATTTCAGGGAAGGCCCTGCTCTTCCCGTTCTTGATCAACTCGTTGCTGACGTAAGCATTCTTCTTCTTTTATGACATACCTATCCTTTTTTACACCATTTTCCATTAAGTAAAGATAATAATGTTATAATTAAAATTCAGATTATGGCCTAATTTGGTTGATTTTTCTGGGGATTTTCTGATAAATATATACGAAATTTGTTTCCTTTTTAAATATAAGAAAATAAATAAATATTAAATGGATGAGAGTAACTTAATAAAATAATGATTGCGTGTGGGTTGGTGCAGGAGAAGAACCATGGAACATATGACTTTATATTCGTTGATGCTGACAAGGACAACTACATCAACTACCATAAACGTCTGATCGATCTTGTGAAAGTTGGAGGAGTGATCGGCTACGACAACACTCTGTGGAACGGTTCGGTCGTGGCTCCTGCTGATGCACCGATGAGGAAGTACGTCCGTTACTACAGAGACTTTGTTCTTGAGCTCAACAAGGCTCTCGCTGCTGACCCTCGGATTGAGATCTGTATGCTCCCTGTTGGTGATGGAATCACTATCTGCCGTCGGATCAGCTAAATCTGGAGTTGAGAGTATCCCTACTCTCTGAGTTTGTCCGCACTGGATGATTATTACCTTTTCCTTGTTCTCTATTACTTTCAAAACGCATTTTCACCAACCCTCTCAAATGGACCTTTCTATGTATTTGTTAAGCAATATATATATATCTCCATTGTCGTCGTCCTTTGTTTTGCTTTCTTCCGAACAAAGAAATAATGTACCTACCTTTTTTTTTTATTTTTTTTTGGTTGTTTTTCTCTTGTTTTTCTCCATGGTACATCATGTACTATTTGTTAAAGATGCAAAAAAAATTATGGCGTGTTACGGAAGTGGTTTAATACACAAGTCACAACCAAATCGACACAGGTCAAACAGCTAATACAGATCTAAATTTTTAAAAATATATAACCAATAAGCATAGACTTGAATATTGTTGTAAGTCGTTGGGATTGACTTATTGTCAATTGAAATATTTAACCTTTGTTTTTGGTCAATTGAAATTAGATTACCAAAACAAATAATTTGACACAGAAACGTACAAAGTAGGAATATTTAGTTCATAAGTAGATATAGTTTTTTTTTTTGGCAACAAATCACCCACAAAGTACTAAAATTTCGTATAATTCCCATTTTTTCGTTAAATATTTTTTTTTATTTTACATTCTTAACATTTTCTTTTGGGCTAAAAATGCTGCTGAGTTTATTTGTTTTCCGTAAACTTATTTTTCAAATTTTAGTTATTTATTTATTGATTAAAAATTTCACATATTTGATTAAATCTTTTAAGGACGTCTGAATATCATGAAAATTTAAAATATTTAAAACACTGGTTTAATAATTTAACTAAATCTAAAACGATAATGTTAATCTATTCTTTTTAAAAAAAGGAAAATGGTTGAACAAAGGAAAAAAAAAAGTTATATATACGAACTCTTTCTTTTTGTTTCTTATTTTACCCTAAAAAAAACTGTAGTCGAAACATATAGGTGAGTCTTCTTTTTATCACACTTTTTTCTTTGCATAATTGATATACATGGAATCCTTGATCAGTTGTTATAAAATTAGGGATTGCAGACATTAGAAACTGGGATTAATTGCTTTCGTTTAAGACAATGGTAAGGATCAATTTCTAGTCATCTCTCTCAAGAATCATTGAGATGTAATTTATTGGCTGATGAGATAATTCTAATTTATATCATTTTTTTTTTTACATTTATCAGAAAGTGGGAGAAGAAGCCACCAAATCAGCTTCAGAATCTCTGGTTCCACAAAGTACATATGCTCTACCTTGTCTTGTGAAGGTAAATATATTTGTAAACACCTAATTAAGTTTTAAAATTTTAAGATTATAATTGTTGACAAAAATCTCATAAACTTGAAAGATCAAATTATACATATCTCCGGTAAAAGATAAAATTTGGAGTTTAAGCTTAGAGTTTTTTTTAATCCGAATTATTACAAGATTGAAGGGGTTGCATTTATGATCAATATGGGGTTAGTTATTGCTCATTTCTTGATCTACATTCGTTATTTCAGGAATTGAGGTGGATGATCACAAATCTTTAATATTTTAAATGTTGGAATAAATCAATTAAAATATAAGATACTAGAATTTTGTATCACGGGAAAATTTTTTTTTGCATTTTAATTTGATATATAAATTTTAAAAAATTATTTTTAAGGGCTAACATAAGTTTTAGGAAGATCCATTAATATAGATTTAATGGAAAAATACCAAAAAAATTAAAAATTCTGTTTTGAAGATAAAGAAAGTATATATGAATAAAATCAAAGAAAATTAATAAAATAAAATAGAAAAATTATATATAAAAGTAAAGAAAAAAAGAAATTTTCATATGGTTTATCGGAGGATAAAGCATTTTGTAATATATTAAATTACTAATAATAATATTTTTCTATGATAGTTTAAACTTCTATTAATTAAAATATTTTTTGCTATTTATTTTTATATTTATATTTATCAATTTTTATTTTAAAAATATTAAAAGTTTAAAATTTATTCTATCCAATACAATTAACTGTTTACTCTTCATCATTTGCTCCATCTGTAAATTCTTGTTATAAATTCATCTTGGGCAAGTTATATACCTGTGAAACAGTGTGATGGTTGTTGTTTGGTAATATATGAAGTAGACCAAAACACCTTTTACCTAACATAAAAGAATATAATGATTAACATCAAACTGTTTGAACATAGAATTGTTTAATTAATTGTTACGCCTAAACTCAATGAATGAAGTTCCGTTTTTGGTAGTATACATTCGAGATATACGTTCGAGATATAGTCGGCATATATTCGAGATATGGTTATACATTCGTTTTTGGTAGTTTCGTTTTTGATTGTATTTATGGTAATACATTCGAGATATAGTCGGCATATGTAGAGGAGAATTAAGGATCAAATATTGTGTAAATATTCGAAGGGATAAAGCAGTTATTAATACACCGGTTAATGAGATTGCGAAAATTAGACCATGAATGGATGCTGTTTTTTAATTCAGTTTTTGGATTTGGTTTTTAGTTTTTGAATTATAGATTTTAGTTTTTGATTTTTATATTAGTTTTTTATTCAAAATCCCAAATTTTTGGTGGGAAAAAAAATTTTGGGAATAGTTTTTGAATTATAGATTTTAGTTTTAGATTTTTATATTAGTTTTTTACAATATCATGTATATCATGATTAAATCTTATGTTTAAATATTTTTTTGAAAAACCTTTCCAAATTAGGAAAATCTCTGTATAAATAAATAATTTTCATGGTCCCAACAATATTAATTTATAGAGGTTATATTGTATTTCACACGAAAGCTTACTATATATAAGCTGATTTTGGAATTTATTATATTGTTACTTTCTTTTTCCAGGAGATAACAATGAAGTTTTCAAATCATTTGGACAAAAGTTCTTTTACTATTATTCCTTCAACACCAATTAAACCTAAACAGATTCTCAATTTCTACGTAAGACGAAAATCTATCAAGTCTCTCCACAAGCCACAAGAAAGTGATGACTGCATTTCTCCAAAAGATTCTTCCAAAGAAGAGGAGATTAAGGAGAAATATATTTTTTCAAAAGGTAATACAATCTAAAACTTCAATATTTTTTTTAGAAACTTTTTAATATATTTTTTGATGAGTATATGACAATTTTATGTTGAGTCAAAATGACATTTTCAGTAGTTTTTTCCACATTAATTTGACAATTATATAATTGGAAGTCATTGCTAATAGTAAGACTAATTACGATCCATTAAGTTAGTTTTTCACTTAGATTGTTCATCTTAGCTTATAGTGGTTCTATACAAAATTTGATCGCTTGTAGTCTAAGCATTCACTTAGATTTTTCATGTTAGCTTGTAGTCGTTCCATAGAGGCTAGGCTTTTTACTTCTAAAGGCTAGGCTTTAGGGGTGTTCCCTTATGCCTTTTAATTTTTTTTGGGAAATTTATCCGTTATTCTTTCCTAGTTAGTTTCATTTAATATACATCTCTTACATGAAATATTGATTATTATTTACGTTCTCCTATGCTTTGTTTTGTTTGATGGTGAAAGGTGATTCAAAACATGTTATTGGAAGAGAGAAGATAAATAACTCAAAAGGGACACAAAAAAGAAAGAGGTTTCACAGACCTCGGATCATGGAAGAGGGGAAGAAACCAAGGAATCCCGCTGCGACACGACTTAGAACTATATCCAAGACAAGGAAGAAGAAGGAAGACTACAGTGAAGATGAAGTTATAGCTGAGCCTTTAACTCCACAAAAGCAAAGTTTTCCAAAAAGAAGCAAAGATGCTAAGTCAAAAAAAAAGGTGGTTCGAAGTTTGAACTTCAGTAAAAAAGCTCCCATCAGTTGTCTTGAGTTCAACAGAATTTGTGGACCAAATTTCCCAAAGGGGAGAAAGAGGATGAGCACAGTCCGTAGATCTGATTTCCATTGCTTGATATCTCCAATATCATTTCCTCTACCTGTTTGGAAAAAGCAATCAAAAAGGTTTAAACGCAAGAAGAACGTGGTCAGATGGGCTAGAATTGCTTTGTCTTTTGACCAACAAGAAGTACTCCCATCTGGAGCAGATGTATCATTGCATTTTGAAGGTAGCCAATTTTTATTTTTATTTACATATGTAAGTATCAATTTTCTTATGTTTATTTTTAATTATTTTTAATACTATATTTAGTTCACCATTTGTTTGTTGTTTATTACAGACACAACTCTTTATGCATTAAAGAAGGCATCTAAGAAAACTAAAGATTTTGATATGCCATTGATCCAAAAAATGAATCATCAAGAAATACCTACACCAGAAGTTCCGTTGCAAACTTTAGGTAATCAATTGTTTAATTTTATTTTTTTAGAGAGATTATAAAATTTCATCGCATATGCATGTAAACTACTTTTTTCTTCTGCTATGCCATTTTTGTTTTTGCAGAGACACTGGGACATGTTAGTTGTGTAGCCCCAAAGCGAAAAAATAAAAGTACTAAAACTATTGCTGAGCATTTAGTCCAACAAATGTGTTATCAGAAAGATCACGGTCTCTCATCCCTAGCAGATGTTCCTTTGCACATTGAAGGTAATCAATATCTTTTTTCTTTATTTTTTGTGACAAATTGATAAGTATTAAACATTGCTTTTCATTATATCATATCTATATTTTGTCCTTTGTATTTTTGTTGCAGACACGCTCATGAAATCGTCTAGTAATGTACCCCAAGAAGGACCTATCATGAAAACTAAGGATATTGCTAAGTTGATCAAAGAAATGAAAAGATTAAAGATCAACAAAAGAGTAACAACTTTGGTCGGTTCTAGCAAAAAACTTGTACTTGCAAAGGTTAATCTTGATCCAGAGACCGTTAAAGAGTGGGAGCTATTAATGATGAATGATCATCCAAACATATCATATGATGATAATGAGACAGAGGCAAAGTGGAAACAAGAAAGAGAGAGCTTTAAAAGCCGAATAGATCTTTTTATTAACCGAATGCATATTCTGCAAGGTACATTATTACTTTTACTATCAAACTACATCTTTATTTAGCATGATTTTATGCATGTATATACTATATGTTAGGAATTCGTTGGTACGATCAAACTGTTTTTGTAATGTTGTTGCCTCTCATGATATCAATTATTATTTTGCAGGAAATAGAAAGTTTAAGCAGTGGAAAGGTTCAGTTGTTGACTCTGTGGTTGGAGTTTTCTTGACACAAAATGTTTCTGATTATCTTTCAAGGTAAAATCTTAGTTTAAACTGTTAAGAAACATAATATACCAGTTGAGATGAAATATAATCACTTTGATTACAATTTTTTTTACAGCAATGCTTTCATGAGTGTCGCTGCAAAATTTCCCACGGATTCAATGGATGATTTAGAAGGTCTAACCTATTACATCGAAGAACCTCAAGATGCTAATGACTCAGTTATGGATGATGATCAAAGACCAAATCATGTAGGAAATGATGATGGTAAGAGTACTGACTTCGTTACCTTATCTGCGGATTCAATAGCAGATGTAGAAGTGCATGCGAAAACTGCTAAAAGGAAAAATGAAAAAACTGGTATTATAGAAGAGGAGACCGTTGATTGGAAGAATATTAGGAAGCTGTATACAAAACAAGGCTCTCGCCACAAAATGCATATGGACTCTGTTAATTGGGATGGTGTGAGATTATCTGGCCAACAAGCTTTTGAAACCATCATCAAAAAACGCGGACAATTCAGGGTTCTTTCAAAAAGAATTTTGGTAAGAAAATTAAATTTTATTATGAATTTTGTTTATAATTTATTCTAAAGATTTTTTACATTAACATAAGTTTTCATTTTTTTTTTCTATAGAAATTTCTTAGCGATGAAGCTGAACAAAATGGAATGATTGATCTTGAGTGGCTCCGAGATGCACCGTCAGATCTTGTGAAGTAAGTTTATGTTGATTTTTATGTTAATATATCTCATTTTTTTTATAAGCATCATTGACTGGATTTATGATGTAATAAATCTCACTATCTACAAATATCATTATTTACAAATATCAGGAGATATCTATTGGAGATTGAAGGGATAGGATTAAAGAGTGCTGAATGCGTTCGGCTATTAGGACTTAAACATTCAGCTTTTCCGGTATAGAAAAATTATAATAACTTTTCACTTAACATTTTTCTCTTACTTACGGATCAAAACCTTGTTTTTTTGTGTATAGGTTGACACAAATGTTGGTCGTATAGCAGTTCGACTTGGTTGGGTTCCTCTTGAACCTTTACCAAATGGAGTTCAACTGCATCAATTATTCCAGTTATGTTTTTTCCACAAAATTTAATTTTAAAAATTAGTATATTATTATTTTAGTTTATTAACAACTATCACCTATATAAACTTTAGGTACCCTTCAATGGATTCTATTCAAAAATACCTCTGGCCACGGCTATGTAAACTTCCTCAAGAAACACTGTAAGTTCAAGTTTTTATTCCTACTTGATAAACTAATTATTGGCAATACCATGTGAAAATATATTACTTAATTTGATGATACATTGTTTTGACAGATATGAACTGCATTATCAGATGATAACATTTGGAAAGGTGCCTACAAATATCATTATATAAAGTTACTTGTCGATTAATCAAGAGAATATTGATTCACATAGATTTAAATATAGGTATTCTGCACAAAGGTAGTTCCAAACTGTAACGCATGTCCGATGAAGTCAGAATGCAAATATTTTGCAAGTGCATATATCAGGTACACTATGGTTTTTTCTTCTTATTTGGGTTACCTAGATTAGATAGATTAATTTGTTAATTTCATAAATAAAAAGAATTTGTGAAAAAATTACTATTAAAATTAACACAACAAATCACCAAATTAATAATAAATACTATTTTTTTTAACAAAAAAAAAGTGATTCTATGAATGGGAGAAACATGGTATACTTGATCTGAATCGGTTATTGATCAACATGAGTATTTCCAAACCGCTTTTAACCTTAAACAGAAAACCAATCTCCTTAGAGCTCTAACCAAAGCCAGTACATACGTTATAATTTTCCAATTACTCTTTTTGACCATAGTGACAAGTGACAACAACTTAGAAACGAGAGACCAAGCAACGAGTTTGGTCATCGACCCTTCTTGGATGGTCGTCATCGATGATTAATATAACTGAATTTAACAATTATAATTTCTAAAGCTCGATAACTAGTCAATACCAACTGGGAAGAAAATTTATAGTTAGGAATTTCTTATGTAGTTTATCAACCGTATTTAAAAAAATAGTTCAATTATATTTGAATTAGTAAATAAGTATTAGACCATTCTAGTGTATGTTTTTTTTTTAACAGAATGTATGAATGAAACATGTTTGATGGGAGTAAAAGCTATTTTTTAAGCCACATGCTATCTATATATTAATGTTAGATTATAAGTAATATCCACATGTTATGTAATTTTCTTTTCAGCTCGAAGGTTCTTCTCGAAGGTCCAGAAGAGAAAACGCATAATCCCGATGAATCTTTTGCGCATGCAAATTCTCAAGATGTTGTTGATGACATGACATCAAATATAAATGTGATAGAGGAATGTGGTTCTCCCGGATGTAGCGATCAAGATATATATTGCGAGCCACTGGTTGAGTTTCCTTCTTCTCCAAGAGCGGATATTTTTGAAATAACAGATATCGAAGATACTCCATGCGTAAATTCTTATCAGCCACATGCTAGAATTCCTGAAATTGAGTTTGACTTGGATGCACTGAAGAAAAATGTTGAAGATGAACTTAGATACAGCGGTGGAAAGACGTTGAGCAGTGTTGATGACGAAATATCAAAAGCATTAGTGGTTCTCACCCCTGAAAACGCATGCATTCCAATCAAGCTACCGCGAAAAATCAAGTATTATGATCGACTAAGAACCGAACATGTGGTGTAAGTATTTAAATATTTTTCTTATATTTAATGCATATTATGGTGACTCTAATATAATCTGGTTGCTTGTTTTGCAGTTATGTGCTTCCTGATAATCATAACCTCCTCCAAGATGTAAGTACATACATGCTCTAAATTAAAAAATTCCAAATTTCATATATAAATCTGAGAAATATATATGTATATTTTGTTACACATATCATCTTAGTTCGAGAGAAGAGAAGTTGATGATCCGAGTCCGTATCTTCTTGCTATTTGGCAACCAGGTATTGTATAAATATAATTATCATTGTTCACGTAAACATAAACTGATCATTTTATTGGATATATGTTTTAGGTGAAACGTCGTACTCCTTTACACCACCAAAGAAAAAGTGCAACTCAGAAGGATCAAACCTGTGCAATATCAAAACTTGTTCGCATTGTTGGGCTATACGGGAAAAAATCGCTAATACTTTTCGTGGCACAATTTTGGTAAAAATATTTTACAATTTAACTTTTTTATCATTGTTGACTTAAAACTCACATGAGTTGATGCAATTGAACAGATTCCATGTAGGACAGCAATGCGAGCGGGTTTTCCTCTCAATGGCACATATTTCCAAACCAATGAGGCAAGTATTTTTTACCTAAATTTCTTTTTAAGAAGTTGTTTAGAGATAAAGTTATTTATTTTTAGTTATAAAGAAAATGTAAACATTTTTTTTATTCTCAGGTTTTTGCAGATTATGAGTCAAGTATTGAACCTATTGTGTTTCCTAGAGAATGGTGTGAGGGTTTAGAAAAACGTGCGCTATATTGTGGTTCGTCGGTGACATCCATTTTTCGATTTTTAGACACAGGGCGGATTCAACTTTGCTTTTGGACAGGTAACATAAATAATTTGATATTAAACTCATCGTTGAATTTTTGACATGTTACAAATTTGATATTAAACTTATTGTTAAATTATTAAATTCAAATTGTTGAGGAATTTTGTGTGGTGATGTGTAGGGTTTCTATGTATGAGAGCATTTGATCGGAAACAACGAAATCCAAAAGAACTTGTTCGAAGACTACACACGCCAAAGTTCATGCAAGACGATGATGATATATAGTTTAGCTTTTGTTTTTGTCTAGTTTTACCAAAACTGAACTGAACAATGGAAGAATCTTTTCGCATTATGAACAAGTAGTTTTATGATTTGAGTTCACTCGGTGTACAATATGAAATTGGAAATCTCTAGTAGGCCAGCCTCTTTATAACATTTAGCAATTTGGTTTACAGATTCAGACCAAGTTCCTTCAATAGAAGCCAAATCCAAAAGAAAAGCCGCAACATCTAGCGCGACTTGAATTGGGGCTTTGCCTTTAGTCAAATCCTCAAGACGACCTTCATCACTCACCTTCTCCCTTACGAATTCAATTTGCTCGTCTTCCCATTGCGCAATAGTAGCAACCTCCTACATATTTTCAAGATATCAGTGAAAAAGTTTTTATGCTTAAAAACTCAATCTAACCGAAACAGAATAACAACAAAATAACTTTTGCCATGCCTCATAAGAACATCCTAATGTCCACCAAGGTGATTTCAATGCTACTCTAGCAGCGTCTTTTGCTTCTGAATTCCTTCCTACCCTGCAAATAAGAATCGTAAAACATGTGACTCAATATTTCTCCACCAAAAAAACAAATACATACATTATAAGTGTGTTGTTTACGAACTTCTGCAGTATGTTTGCATAATATACGAAAGGTCGTCCAAATCCTGGAAAGAGGTCTTTCTTTGTGTAAAATTCTCCTGTTACCATAGCTGAAATCTTACAGAGACAAAAGAAATCCTTTAAACGTTTCACACAAGAGTGATTCACGATTGTAGGATATGATATTATATAAAAGATTCTTACATGATCTCCTTCATCAAAATGCCGTAATACTTTCCGTTCCAACAAATCTGGAAATAGCCCAACCTATACAATGCAAAATCAAAAAAACCAAATATTATTTATTGTATGTGTACATAACACGTTTGATCTCTATATAACTAATGGTTTTTTTAAATCTTACCTTCTTTAAGACGTAGACATCAAGATTGTCAATTTGTGATTCAGCAAAAGCACCCTTTCTGTAAAGTTTTTCACCTGCCTCTGCTGAAGCACGATAAAGTTCTGTCAACTCTTGTGCATCTTCTTCAACCAAAATCCGGTGAATATACTCATCTACCTGAATATCAGAAACTGTAAAAATTGCTTCTTGAAAAGATAAGCTGCGTATGTCAAGAATGAAAAGTTCATTACATTTCTAGCTATAAGCCGGACTCCACTCCTCCACACTTCCACAACCGGCATATCCAAACTGTTCTCAGATACAAAAGGTTAAAATTCAAGAATATCCCAACAGCAAATACTTATTTACCACTGCTACAGTTACCAAGAATGATCCAAACCTCTTACCCTGGAGGAGCAGTAGGCCATCTCAGAAGCGCAGTAATAGAGCCTACTTAGACAATCAACCCGGAAAACACAAAAATAAACAAAAGCTCCTGAAAAAAATAAAAAAGAAGCTAATGGATTCGATCAAATATGTGCTCTTACCTGAAGAATTCTTCGAAAGCGGAATAGCAAGAGGTATCAGTCCCTGCTTAGCTCCAGGAGATATGATTGTTTCACCTGCAGATGAAAACAACAGGGATGCTAATAACGATAGGTTCGCCTCTTCAATTATAACAAAGCCAGAGTACTCAAAATAACATATCTTATAATAGGGAATTAGTAGCCAGAACTTGCAGAATCTGTTCTATCCAAAACACACATAAGCTTGGACATACTGAGAAACAAATTGAGAATCATATTACCTCTTGTTTGAAGCACTTTGAGCAAGTGCTGAAGATGCATTGGAGGTTCAGTGGCAGCTACATCTTTGATAAATGATACATGCCCTGCACGAAAACTCTAACCGTTAAGTCTATCCCTTATGTGTCTCTGGAGATATATATTACACATTCCTTCTTTTAAATCGTTGTCTCCACCAAGCATAATTATAAAGATGGTCACTGCATTTTCCTACGAAAGATGGTTTCTACACTTAACCGAAAGATATAAGTTCAAGCATTCTCCGGGTATCAAACAATCACACATTCAATTTCCACACAAATTTGAGGAAAGAAAAACGAAAGTACCAGAAGAGCAACAGGAGACTCTAGCTCTCGTATGGCGTAAAGGAGGAGTAGTACAAGGAGTTATGCGCAGCGAAAGCGAAGCCATGGCTCCTTATCTCTCTATCTTTTTTTCTTTCTCTTCACTCTGCTTCCTCAACCTCACACATAGAGTAGTTCGCGTGTCAAAAACTGTGATTAGTCAAATTCAGCCATTGATTTTGTTTCTCTGATGAGGAAAAAAGAAAAAGAGTGATGGGCCTTAATGGGCTAATAGCTCTCTCCCAAACCCAAACCCAAACCCATAATCTAAAGACGCGTAACCGACACAAACCGTCATTAAATGTGCTAGAGGGAAGGTCAATTTTGTCAATTACCGGTTTACATGACCCGGTCTAGGCCTACCATAATCAATTTACTTGGTGCCTTCGTGTTTTTTTTTTTTTTTTCCGGTCTTTCTTTTTTATTCTCAAGGATAATAATAATTCGCGATAGACGACCCCTTTCCTCTTAGCTCGACGTTATCAGACTCACCGAGTCGAGTCGTATCAAATCAACCGCAGCCGTCAACCACCGTCTGCGCAATCCGTTATTCCTACCCCGGATTTCTCCATGGAGATTTCCTCGGCCGATTCGTTGTCTATCTCTGGCGCGGCCGCTTCTGAGGTTGTCTCGGAGCCTTCCGTATCTTCTTCTGCTTCTTCTTCCTCTTCTTCCATATCTGCTTCGTCGCCGAATCAGGCCTCCCCCAATCCTTTCTCAAACATGGATCCCTCTGTTGCGACGGCGGCAGGGTCAAGGTTTGTTGATGATGACGAAGATGAGGAGGACGTGTGCAGGATCTGCAGAAATCCTGGGGATGCAGACAATCCGCTTCGGTATCCGTGTGCCTGTAGCGGAAGCATCAAGTTTGTTCACCAGGATTGTCTCCTTCAGTGGCTAAATCATAGCAACGCTCGTCAATGCGAGGTTTTGTTTCTTTCCCTCTTTAGTACATGATTTTGTAGATTTTGGATTCTTATTAAGATCTAGATCATGTATTAGGAATTTTGAATTGAACGGAAGTGTTATGGATCGACCTTTTCTACTTTTGATGATTCTTTTTAGTTTGGGACCTTTGGGTGGACGAATGGGCAATTGCATACGATTTCTGTGTGATCATCTTTAATAGAATTCATCGTAGCCTAAGTTTGACAGTAAAGTTTCCTTTTTAATTTTATTTGTGTCTCTTAGCCGCTTAGGTAGTAGTTCGACTTAGAAGAGACCCTAACAGAAGTTTGACAGTAAAGTTTTCTTTTTTATTTTATCTACTTATTGTTTGAGCTTATTGGTAACTTCATCGCTGCAGGTTTGCAAGCATCCTTTTTCATTCTCCCCAGTGTATGCTGAAAATGCTCCGTCAAGGCTCCCTTTCCAGGAGTTTGTAGTTGGCATTGCCATGAAAGCTTGCCATGTTTTGCAGTTCTTTCTGCGGTTGAGTTTTGTGCTTTCTGTCTGGCTTCTCACTATACCTTTCATTACATTCTGGATATGGCGATTGGCTTTTGTGCGAAGTTTTGGTGAAGCTCAGAGGTTGTTCTTAAGCCACATCTCCACCACAGTAATTCTCACTGATTGTTTGCATGGGTTCTTACTATCGGCAAGTATTGTCTTCATCTTCCTTGGAGCGACTTCATTAAGGGATTACTTTAGGCATTTACGAGAGCTAGGGGGACAAGAAGAGAGAGAAGATGACGGGGACAGAAATGGTGCTCGTGCTGCAAGACGACCTGCTGGACAAGCTAATAGGAATCTTGCCGGAGAGGGGAATGGCGAAGATGCTGGAGATCAGGGTGCTGCGGTTGGTCAGATCGTTAGAAGGAATCCTGAAAATGTTTTGGCAAGGTTGGACATACAAGCAGCCCGTCTCGAGGCTCAGGTTGAACAGATGTTTGATGGTTTGGATGATGCCGATGGTGCAGAAGATGTACCATTTGATGAGCTGGTTGGAATGCAGGGTCCAGTGTTTCATTTGGTTGAAAATGCCTTTACGGTAAGTTGATGTTTCTACTCTTGTGATTCTTTTCTTAGATTCTATTTCCCCTTGTTTTATTTATTATTGGCACTTCCTTAAATCTCTATGATATTCTTAATTTGCAGGTTCTAGCAAGCAATATGATATTCCTTGGTGTTGTGATATTTGTGCCCTTCACATTAGGAAGGGTTATACTGTATCACGTGTCATGGCTTTTTGCTGCTGCTAGAGGCCCTGTCGTGACCGCATCGATGCATTTGACAGATACTGGACTATCATTGGAAAATATTACTATGAAGAGTGCGCTGACTGCTGTCTCAAATTTGACTAACGAAGGTCAAGATAATGGCTTGCTTGGTCAACTCACAGATATGGTGAAAGTCAATGGAAGTGATATGAATGGAGCAAACAGTACGCTATCAGTTGGTGCTGATTTCTTGAAAGGTTCGGCTGCTGGGGCTTCAAAGCTATCTGATATTACAACTCTGGCTGTTGGGTACATGTTTATAGTATTTCTGGTGTTCCTTTACCTTGGGATCATTGCACTGATTCGATATGCCAAGGGTGAGCCACTGACCGTTGGGAGATTTTATGGGATTGCATCTATAGTCGAAGCTGTACCATCCCTCCTTAGGCAGTTCTTGGCAGCAATGAGGCATCTGATGACTATGATTAAAGTTGCCTTCCTTTTGGTCATTGAGCTTGGGGTCTTCCCTCTGATGTGTGGGTGGTGGCTAGATGTTTGCACAGTTAGGATGTTTGGTAAAACAATGTCTCACAGGGTACAGTTTTTATCAATTTCTCCACTGGCAAGCTCACTTGTTCATTGGGTTGTCGGAATAATGTACATGCTGCAAATAAGCATCTTTGTCAGCCTTCTTCGAGGGGTATTGTTTTCCTTGCGCATAATTTCATATTAGTAACAGTTTTTGTTCTCTGCTACCATCTAATTTTTTTCCCCACTTTTGTACCTAATGTAGGTTCTTCGCCCTGGAGTTCTGTATTTCCTTCGTGATCCTGCAGATCCTAATTACAATCCTTTCCGAGATTTGATTGATGATCCAGTTCACAAGCATGCTCGGAGGGTACTGTTATCTGTTGCAGTATATGGGAGTTTGATTGTCATGTTGGTCTTTTTACCAGTCAAACTTGCAATCCGGATGGCTCCTTCGATTTTCCCGCTCGACATATCGTAAGAAATATTGGCTAACATCTTGTTTTGAATATTTTCTGTTTGAGATTGAATATGGTCTTTTAAAGAAATTTTGCAATTTATGCAGTGTTTCTGACCCATTCACTGAGATTCCGGCCGACATGCTACTGTTTCAAATATGCATACCGTTTATTATTGAGCATTTTAGACTCCGGACCACAATTAAGTCACTTCTACGTTGCTGGTTCACCGGTGTTGGTTGGGCACTTGGTTTGACAGACTTCCTCTTGCCAAGACCAGAGGACAACATTGGTCAGGAAAATGGAAACGGTGAACCAGGAAGGCAGAACAGAGCACAAGTATTGCAGGTCGGTGGACCTGACAGGGCTATGGCTGCGGTTCCAGCTGCTGATGACCCTAACAGAAGTCTCCTGCGCGCTAATGCCAACATGGGTGAGGAATATGAAGATGATGAAGAACAGTCTGATTCAGAGTAAGTCTTCTAGAAATAAACTAAAAGCTTTTGTGTTGTTTCGGATTTGTGCATGCTTAAAGTAATTAACTGTTGTGTTTGCTTGGTTATAGAGTTGACTAGGTACATAAAATAACTCTATTAGGTCTTCCCCTGATATGAACGTATTTTTTTAGCAGGTACAACTTTGTAGTCCGGATAATTCTTCTTCTACTTGTTGCATGGGTGACTCTTCTTCTCTTCAATTCGGCATTGATAGTTGTACCAGTTTCGCTTGGGCGAGCATTATTTAGTGCCATCCCAATTCTTCCAATAACTCATGGCATCAAATGCAATGGTAATGTTTGTTAATTTTGAACTTCTGGTTCATTCTTTCGCACCTTTACACATATTAACAGAATCCCCTAAATCTGTAGATCTGTATGCATTCGTCATTGGCACATATGCCTTTTGGACAACCATATCTGGCGCCAGGTATGCTATCGAGCATGTCAAGTCAAAGAGGACTTCAGTCTTGCTTAATCAAATATGGAAATGGTGTGGAATTGTCTTCAAGAGCTCAGTGCTGTTAGCCATATGGGTGAGGGGTTTGTGCTGTTAGTTTCTCAATTTTTTTGTGACATTAAAAACTTCATTTTTACACTGGATTCTGTACTTTTAACAGGTTTTTATCATTCCGGTACTGATTGGACTTCTGTTTGAGCTTTTGGTGATTGTCCCAATGAGAGTCCCAGTAGATGAAAGCCCTGTCTTCCTCCTGTATCAAGACTGGGCACTTGGGCTCATATTTTTGAAGATCTGGACAAGACTGGTAAGTAATTTCTCTAAATCAGCAAATTTGGCTGCATAAAAGGAGATTTCTTCACTAAACAACAATGACAATGGACAGGTGATGCTGGATCATATGCTTCCAATAGTTGATGATAGCTGGAGGGCAAAGTTTGAGAGGGTTAGGGAAGATGGATTCTCGAGGCTTCAAGGGTTATGGGTACTTAGAGAGATTGTGTTCCCGATTGTGATGAAACTCCTAACAGCTCTATGTGTGCCTTATGTGCTGGCGAGAGGAGTGTTTCCAATGCTCGGATATCCGCTAGTAGTGAATTCAGCGGTCTACAGATTTGCGTGGATAGGTTGTCTCTCGGTGAGCCTCTTCTGCTTCTGTGCAAAAAGATGCCATGTGTGGTTCAGAAACCTTCACAACTCTATCCGTGATGACCGTTATCTCATTGGTCGGAGACTCCATAACTTTGGGGAAGCTGCACTGGCTAACCAAAACCAAAGCCAAAGTAGTGAGGATGTAGGAGATGGTGTCTTGATAGGACGTGAGGGAGATGTTGACAATGGACTAAGGCTCAGACGTGCGATCCAACAAGAAGCTTAGAAAGAAAATAGTATTTTGTCGAACTGTTCACTGAGTCGTTTAACATTTGTGTACTTTTAGCCATTAAGGAATGGCTTTGAAGATTATTTGTTAGTCGATGTGTAATTATTATATATCCGTTAATCCTTTTTTTTTTTTTTTTTAACGTGTTTTTGTGTGTGTATTAAAAACTAAAAGATCTTTAGAAATAATTCCTTTTTTTTCTTCCATGCAGCACTCATTTCATATACATTTTGAAGTGAATACACTCCCAAGTCCCAAACCAATTCAAATCCAATGTGAGATATCCATGTCCAAACTCTTAGGGGTGTATGAATTTCTCTATTTTTAACTAAGGAAATCATTTCAAATCCTCTCAAAACTTTTATAATCAATAACAATGAATTTTAAAATTATTAGTTCAATAACATTGGATTTTATTTAAAAAAAATTAAAATCCATGATTGAATAGAATAGGATTTGTAAATTTTTAACTTACAAATCACTTAAAATGCAAGTTTTAATACACCATCTAGTAGTGAATAAAAAGTTATGTTAATGTTTATATTAATTTTGATTAGGATTTTAATAGTGACTCGCCCACCATGGATCCCGCATTTTCGACGGCGGCAGTTGAAGATGAGGAGGACATGTGCAGAAACCCAGGGGATGCGGACAATCCGCTTCAGTATCGGTGCACCTGCCCGCGGGAGCATCAAATGTGTTCACCAGGATTGCCTCCTTTTGTGGCTTAATCATAGCAACGCTCGTCAATGTGAGGTCCTTAATATCTCCCTTACAGTTACTAATGAGTTCTAAAGGATTTGCTTCTTCTTTTGTGTTTTTTTTTTGGTAATCGTCTCACTTTTCTTTCTAGGATTTGGGGATAGGTTTGATCTTGTGACGTACTTTGATAACTGTTTCTTAGGCTGTACTTTTACCTTGAAAATATAGAACGCATCTTTATTATTTGAGTTCATCATGGTGGCCTCAATAGAGTGAGTTGAAGCTTATATACTTCACTTTATCTCTGCAGGTTTGCAAGCATCCTTTTTTCATTCTCCCCAGTCTATGCTAAAGACGCTCCAACAAGGCTCCCTTTCCAGGAGGTTGTAGTTGCCATGGTGATGAAAACTTTCCGCCTTTTACACTTGGAGCTTTGTGCTTTCCATCTGGCTTATCATTATTCCTTTCATTACATTTTGGATATGGCGATTGGCTTTTGTGCGGAGTTTTGGTGAAGCTCAGAGTTTGTTTTAAGTCACATCTCCACCACAGTGATTCTCACCAATTGTCTGCATCGACTATGGGCAATAATTGTCTTCTTGGACTTTAGAGAGAGTTTATTAAAGCCGTTTCCTAGAAGAGATTGTAAATGAAGGGGACAGAAATGGTGCTCGTGCTGCTAGAAGACATGATGGAATCAGGGTGCTGTGGTTGGTCAGATTGTCAATAGGATTCCTGAAAATGCTCTGGAAAGGCTGCACATACTTAGCTGTTCGGATTGAACATATGTTTGATGGTTTCGATGATGCAGAAGATTGGCTGGTTAGAATGCATGGTCTAGTGTTGCATTTCGTTCTGGTTTAAAATAACATGGTGATTCATTTGGTTGTGAATCCGTTTTATGTGAGTTGATGTTTCTCCTCTTGGTGATGTTTTTACCTTGTTCTATACTATTAGCCCCTCAGTAAATCTTCACAATGTGCATAATTTGCAGGTTCTGGCAGACAAGGCGCTATTCATTGTCTGAGAGGGTAAGAGAAGATGGCTTCTCAAGGCTTCAAGGGTTATGGGTACTTAAAGAGATTGTGTTCCCGATCATGATGAAACTCCTAACAGCTTTATGTCTGGCTCAGAAACTTTCACAACTCTATCCGGGATGACCGTTATCTCATTGGTCGGAGAGTCCATAACTTGGGGGAATCTGCTTTGGCTGACGAAAACCAAAGCAGTGACTAGTGAGGATGCAAGACGTAAGGGAGATGCTGAGAATGGACTAAGGCTTCTACCGTTCTACGTGCAACCCAACAAGAAGTTTAGAAAGAATATGGGGTCAAACAGTTGGAAACTGTTCACCTAGTCGTTAATTACATTTGTGTATATTCGAAAGATCTTTAGAAATGAAGCTTCGTATATATGCCTTGTGTGTTTCTGTTGTAATGCTTAAGGAAACAATTGCGTACTAAGTAGTGTACTGTATATCGCAAAATTTTATCCATTGTGTCAAAAGTCTATTGGAATATTTACTAATCCTGTGTGCATTAATTTGTAAGGGTTTGACAAGTCAAATCTTCCTTTTTTTTAATTGTCAAATCTTACATGATTTATATATATATAATTTTTGCCTATATTGGTTATGACTTTTTGTTGCATGCATATGGAAATGAATTTTAGAATTTTAGAGTACTGTAAGAAGTTTTCACCCTTTTTGACTTTCAACTTGCTAATAATAAGAAATCAACTTTATTTGAATACTGTCTAAACTTGGTTACTAATCTAGTAATCAGAGAGTTTAGTTGCTAATATATTCCAAAGTTCAATGCGCGCATCTGTTTGACTTTTCCGAAGTGACGAGAACGAGGACCGTCGAACTGTGAAAATCAAAATCTTTACGTTTTACTTCCGACTCAATCCAACGGCTGAGATATTTTACCACTCCTCCTAGGGTTCTAGAGAAATAAAATATTATATATTTTTTTTGGTTTAATATAAAAGCAGAGAATAGAGAAACTGTATTCCATCTTTAGCAATCGCTCGAGTCTCGCCTCCATTATCTCACTTCGCCGTCGCAGGCATCGCCGCCGGCAATTTCTTACCCTTATTTCATCTTCCCTCTCCTCTGCTATACCCCAAAAAAAAAAAAACAGAAAAGCCACATAAAAGATAAAAACCTTCGCTTAGCTTTTTTTGTTGATTTTGCCGTCCGATTCGATTTCTTTTGTTGTTTTTGAGTTTCTTAGGGTTCTTAGTTTGGTTTCACTATAATAACGAGAGGGGAGGGAAGAGTAACAAAAACCCCCAAAAAAGTCAAAAAAGTTTCGAAAAACCCAAAAAAAGAGAGAGAAGAGAATGGCGCAGGTTCAACTTCAGGGTCAGGCTGCGAATGGTTCGACTGTGGCTGCTGCACCGGTCACGCCCGGAGGAGCAGCCGCCTCCCAGTTCGGCACCACGTCGCTTTATGTGGGGGATCTTGATCTCAATGTGACGGACTCGCAGCTTTTCGATGCGTTTAGCCAAATGGGTCAAGTTGTCTCGGTTCGTGTCTGTAGGGATTTGGCCACTCGCAGATCACTTGGCTATGGATACGTTAACTTCACCAATCCCCAAGATGGTTAGTCTATTCAAATTTTGAGTTTTTTTTTTTGCAAACAAGCAATTTTCGATGTTATAGAATGTTAAAAGGATATTAGGGTTTGCTCGATAGTACTGGTACTAGATTTAACTTGAACGTTTTGGAAATGTTGATACTTTCCGGTGTTTGTATAGATGCAATGTGGTTGATGCTGTTCCGAGAAAACTTAGCCTCTGCTTAATCAATCTTTCTCATGCGTACATCTTATCTTGTCTTCTAATTGTACTTTTATCTTGTGTCTTTGTTGCAGCTGCAAGAGCCATCCAAGAGCTGAATTACATACCACTTTATGGTAAACCTATAAGGGTTATGTATTCTCACCGTGATCCTAGTGTTCGCCGAAGTGGCGCTGGGAACATTTTTATCAAGGTATGCTTCCTTGTCTTGTCTGTGTTCTCCCCTGCTTTTCGTTTCTGCCAAAGTCATTTGAGTCTCTGTTAGACGAGATGATTGTTTGGAAAAAAATTGAATATTGTTTAATCCCATTGGAAAGTCTTTCTTAAATAGACGATTTCTTTTGTTGTGTACTTTTTCGCTCTTTCTTTCTTTTTGGTGCTAAACCTGTCTATAAATTTGCAGAATTTGGACGAGTCCATCGACCACAAAGCACTGCATGATACGTTTTCAACGTTTGGAAACATTGTGTCATGTAAGGTTGCTGTGGATGCTTCAGGCCAATCAAAAGGCTATGGATTTGTGCAATATGCCAGTGAAGAATCTGCCCAGCAAGCTATAGAGAAACTGAACGGCATGTTGCTTAATGACAAGCAAGTGTACGTGGGTCCTTTCCTGAGGAGACAAGAAAGAGACTCGACTGCAAACAAATCCAAATTCACCAATGTGTACGTGAAGAATCTCGGGGAAAATACTAATGATGATGACTTGAAGAACGCTTTTTCGGAGTATGGAAAGATAACAAGTGCTGTGGTGATGAAAGATGGAGATGGCAAGTCTAAGGGCTTTGGGTTTGTTAACTTTGAAAATGCTGATGATGCTGCTATGGCTGTGGAGTCTCTCAATGGGCACAGATTTGATGACAAGGAGTGGTATGTTGGTAGAGCCCAGAAGAAGTCCGAGCGGGAAACAGAACTAAGGGTCCGTTATGAACAGAATTTGAAGGAAGCTGCAGACAAGTTTCAAAGTTCAAACTTGTATGTGAAGAATTTGGATCCTAGCATTTCAGATGAGAAACTTAAAGAGATCTTTTCTCCTTTTGGTACCGTCACATCTTGCAAGGTCCATTATCCTTCTCTCTCTTTCTCTGTACTGAATTGACCTTTCTAATTCACTATTTAAGAAACCCTTTCATATAATATGACAGGTGATGCGGGATCCTAATGGAACAAGCAAAGGCTCGGGTTTTGTTGCTTTCTCATCTCCTGAAGAAGCAACAGAAGCTGTAAGTCAGTTATGTTGTTATGTTGAGTAGATGTCTGAGGAGTTGTACTTCGATTGTTACTAACTGTGGAATTCTGTACAGATGTCACAGCTGAGCGGTAAAATGATTGAAAGCAAGCCACTCTATGTTGCTATTGCACAGCGGAAGGAAGACAGAAGGGTCAGACTACAGGTTTGCCTCGCTTGAAATAACCTCATCTATAGCTACCACTTCTATTGTCTGTTGGTATATCAAACAGTTGGACCTATCGTACATAAGTGTTCAAATGTTCTACTGCATATGAATAAAGCAAAAACAACAAATTTCCTAGTATTTGTATCATATACATCTTTCATTTTTCATCTCCTGACGCTGGTTGTCTACATGATGTGAATAGGCTCAGTTCTCTCAAGTGAGGCCAGTTGCAATGCCGCCATCTGTTGGTCCTCGCATGCCAATGTATCCCCCAGGTGGTCCTGGGATTGGACAACAAATGTTCTATGGTCAGGCCCCTCCTTCCATGATTCCTCCCCAGGTAATTCATCATGTTTGCTCTACTTATAGTAGCAGTCTTCTGGCTTGGCTTTTAAGTCACAGGAGAAGTTTTAAAATCTTTAGAGTCAATAGTTCCTATACACATACTTGAGCCTTTCCAATTATGTTTTGAGACTTTTCGGATAATATTAACCTGTGATTGTGCAATGCCACAGCCTGGGTATGGGTTCCAACAGCAGCTTGTTCCTGGAATGAGACCTGGTGGGGGGCCACCCAATTTTTTCATGCCCATGGTTCAGCAACAGCAGCAGCGTCCTGGAGGAGGAAGACGCCCTGGGGGAATCCAACAGTCCCAGCAGCAAAATCCCATGATGCAGCCACAGGTTCTTGTCTTTTCCTTATTCAGTTGCAATAATAGCTGCTTTACTTGCTCATCTCTCGCTTAATAGTTTATCATATGATATATCTGTTTGGCTGGTGGTTAGATGCATCCAAGGGGTCGGATGTTCCGGTACCCCCAAGGACCCCAAGGCCGTGGTGGTAGTGGTGATGTGCCTCCATATGACATGGGCAACAACATGCCATTGCCTATTGGAGCTTTGGCTTCAAATCTGGCTAATGCTAGTCCAGAGCAGCAGAGGACGGTGAGAGAATCTCTAAAAGATCAAATAGTGAATGGTTTTGTTTGAATTCTAATAATGTTGGGACTTTGGTGTGTGCACAGATGCTGGGTGAGAATCTATACCCGTTGGTGGAGCAGATTGAGGCAGAGTCTGCAGCAAAAGTAACTGGGATGCTTTTGGAAATGGACCAGACGGAAGTGCTCCATCTATTGGAGTCACCAGAAGCTCTCAAGGCCAAAGTTGCAGAGGCTATGGATGTTCTAAGGAGTGTTGCAGCTGGTGGTGCAGCCGAGCAGCTTGCATCCTTGAACCTCTCTTAACTTGTTTTACCATTTGATCTTGGCTGTTGTCTCTCGCATACAATTGGAGTTGTTTCTTCTGTTTTGTTTTATCAGGGGGAATTTGTATTCCTCCACATAACTCCCACTTTTGTGCTGTTTTTAAACCTTCTTTTTGAAATCACAAAGGAAAAACATATCTGCTTTGTTCTTTGGATTTTACTAGCTTGTTCTTTTAATTTTTAGTTACTTGATCGACTAAGGTAGTCTTCACGGAAGATGAAGTTATAGATATGAGGCCGATGCAGGTGATCCTCCACTCTGCCCTTAGGAATGTGATTGTTGATTCTAATCTTTTTTCTTACCAGTTTTAAAGCTTTTGTTTTATGGCGAACTCGCGAAAGGTAGCCTACATCGATTTGGTAAAAATGATCTCAATTAACTTTTTTGTTAACATACCTCATGATTTATATAGATAGAATCTTCGTAGAGGTCTGCTGAAATATGATGGGATCTTGTTTGGTTCAAATCTTACCATTGTTATTGTTTTAGACTTTGATATGATTTTCGGAACACTTTTTCTGCATCTACTGTATTCATTTATGTACTTGGATGCAGTAAGAAAACAGTATCTACGGCAAGAATTTCAGACTATTTCATACACAGAATATTTGATTGTTTTCCAGCAAGTTGCGCCATGAACTATATAACCAAATTGTGGTTTTTGCGCGTGTGTGTGTGTATGTTTATTCGACAAGTAGATGCAAAAACAATTTTTTAGGTCTGATGACATTTGTGAACCACGTCGAAAGTAATAAAGTATGACCGACGAGTATCTTAAAAAATCTCTAGATATTTGAACTAATGTCAACAACGAACAGAACACGACATAGAAATCCAACAACACTTGAAACCAAAAGAGAGTTCAAATAAGGGTTTCTTCTTGCATCGAAATTGGACTTTTGAGTTTTGACAACCAAAAAAAAAAAAGGTTGAAAAAACCATTTAGAAATTGACGACCCAAAAGAAACGTAAAAAGAATAAAAATGCCGACCAATCATCGACCATATACCAAAACTGATATGTGGCTAATGTCCCCACCAGTCCACCACCTATCATATCACAAACTTCTCTTGTCTTTTTTTTTTTCTTTGTTCTCCGAATTTTACCACCCAATCAAAAACGCTTCTCTTCTTCTTCTTCTTCTTCCAAAAAAATTCGACCTTTGTTTCTCTGAGATTTCATAGAAAAGATTTCATTGGAATCCGTGAGTGACAGAGGATAAGGCGATTATGGGTTCCATCTCTTTATCCAATTCTCTGCCCATAACGCGACTTCCGCTACTTACTTCACTCAATCATCATCAGTGCTTTCTTCCGATTTCTTCTACATCTTTCTCTCTTCCTCCTCTCTCTAATCTTCGTCGCTCCTCCTCTTTTTCACCCTCAACCTCCGTCTCTGCCTTCTTCGCTGCTCCTGCCAGTGTCAACAATAACAACTCTCTTCCCGTTAGTCAAATCTCCTCCTTCCAGATTTACCCCTTTTTTCTTTTTTATCTTAAACTTTTCAGATTTGTTTGGTTCAGGCACGAAACGGGGGCTACACAGTTGGAGATTTCATGACACCCAGGCAGAATTTGCATGTTGTCAAGCCTTCAACCTCGGTCGATGATGGTAATTATGCACAACATGATTACCATTTCTCTTCTAATCACTAAGTCTCTAAGTATGTTCTCTTTTCTTTTTATTTTGTTATCTTAACAGCATTGGAACTTCTGGTTGAGAAGAAAGTCACGGGATTGCCTGTAATTGATGATGATTGGACTCTGGTATAAACTTATTTCTTTTGTCATTGCGTTCCTCTGTTTAGAGTCTTTAACAACAAGCTCATGATTTACCATACTAGTACCACAGCTACCGTCTTCGGTTTTGTTACTGGTTTATTGTATTCAGAAGCTTATAAGTTATGCTTTATCTTCCTTTGACCTCTGCTGTAACTTCTCCTGCAGGTTGGTGTTGTTTCTGATTACGATTTGCTTGCATTGGACTCCATCTCTGGTAATGTTTACAAAGTTTTTAAATCTTCTCTTGGTGTGATGATCACTATATATATGGTTTCAGTTTCATTATATTTTACAAGGAATAAATACTTTATCATTTGTTAAGGAGTTGAACCATATTCTGGTTGTTGGATTTTCACTTCTGCACATCTGGTGGTTCTTTGTTTTGTGGACACATAGTTTTCATGTTTAGTTTTATTGTCCAGAACGTTTTATGGTTTTGTATAATTCAACTTAACCTCTTGTTTTTTGTCTTAGGCCGCAGTCAAAATGATGCAAACTTGTTCCCTGATGTCGACAGTAGCTGGAAAGTATGTTTCTCCTTATCTGTTTATGGTTTGCTTTGTTTGAGGACTAGTGTTTGTCTCATTTACATCAAACTTCTGGTGATGAGTTTACTTATGATATTTTCCTATTTCCTTTTCGCCAGACGTTCAATGAACTCCAGAAACTGATTAGTAAGACATATGGAAAAGTTGTTGGAGATTTGATGACACCTTCTCCTCTAGTTGTCCGTGATTCTACCAATTTAGAAGATGCAGCCAGGTAAATGGTAGAAGCTTAGGAGGAATGAGTTCTATCCGATTTTTCTAGTGGCATTGTATTTGTGAGCTACGTTTCTTACAAGATCTGTAACCATTTGTCTCCAGGTTGCTTCTGGAAACAAAGTTTCGAAGATTACCAGTTGTGGATGCAGATGGAAAACTGGTGAGAAACTCAGTCTTTTCTTCTTCTTTGTGCAGTTTGATTTGGTCTGATCTTTTCAGTATCATCTAAACACTGTTTTTCGTTTCCGCGCAACAAGATTGGGATCCTTACAAGGGGAAACGTTGTTAGAGCAGCGCTGCAGATCAAACGGGAAACCGAGAACTCTACATAGCTAGCTAGTAAGCAGCAGTTATAGAGCAGATCCCTCATATCTGCTATAGTTTATAGTAAAATATATTTATTCCATTGATAAGTATATATAATATATGTATGCACACATTCACAAACAATTTTTTGTACTTTAGGAGTTACATTTCTCAGACTCAGAACTCTAGACAAATGGTATTTGATACACATATATATATTTTATTGTAGCACAAGTCTTATCACTACCAAACAGAATTGAACTACTTCACAAGATCTAGTTTACTGTTTTTATCTTCTTTTTCTCACTGAGCTCTTCAGTAAAGCTATTCAAATAGTAAAACAAAGTCCCTCCTTTCTCCACCACGCCTCAATCTCAACTTCTCCTCTGCTTACTTGCTTCATTGTCACCTCTCTCAGGGCCGTCTCACGGTAAACTCCTCTATGAAACTGTTTATATCGTTAACAGAAGACCCTCCTTCTTCCACTGCGGCCTTAGCCATCTCTGCCAGCTTCTTTGCCTGCTTCCGCCTCTCCTCTGCCTCTTCCCCAACCAACACCTCCCTCATCGCTTTATCCACTTTCTCTCTGCTAATGAAATCTCCCGTACCCCTTACATGCTTTTGCGCTCCCACGCTCACTCCTGTCCTGAGCACTTGCGTAACCAATTTCTCGTTGTAGAATTGCTCCGCTCCAACTGGCCATGTCACCATCGGTAGCCCTGCAGCTACTCCTTCAAGAAGCGAGTTCCAGCCGCAATGGGTCACGAACCCACCGGTTGCTTGGTGGTCAAGAATCAGCACCTGAGGAGCCCATCCTCGAATTATCATCCCTTTACCTTCTACCCTCTCTTCAAACCCTTCTGGTAACCATTCTCCTTTGTCACCTGTTCATACCAAATATTGTTTCAGATTAAAAACAGATCAACCCAAAAATACAATTATATTGTTTCAGAGGTTACTATGAATACCAGTGTTTTTCCTCACAACCCATATGAAATTTGTGCCAGAAGCTTCTAGCCCTGCAGCGATCTCGAATAGCTGCTCGTTCTTGAAGTTTGCCACGCTCCCAAAGGAAATGTAAATGACTGAATCTGGTTTCTTGGAGTCAAGCCATTTCATGCATTCTACCTCATCAATGCTAGCTTTCTTTCCTCTCCCAGCCTTCTCCTCAAATCCTCTGCTGTACATCGAGAGCGGACCGATATGCCAAGCTTGCTTTTGTATAAAACTTTTGTAAAAATCGGCGTAATCAGGTTCAAGCTCGTAAAAGCTATTCACAACAACTCCTGAGCTCTTCACTTCCGATTCTTTAACCTCAATCATAAAACGCCCCACCTCGCTTTCTTCATCAAGGTCTGAGATCTGTTCTTTAGTCATCAGTATGTTCCCAGGGAGATCAGGGATCACAAATGTCTCAGAACTCGAAGTTACTCTGTTTTGAGGCTGATGCGCTCTGATGCAATATTCAGAGCACAAAGAGAAGTAGCCAGTGCCGTGGAACACAAGCCTTGGCACATTGAACTTCTCAGCAGCTTCAGTAGCCCATGGGAAGAACATGTCGGCAATGAGACAATCCGGTGTAGTTGTCTCGAGGAGCTTCTCAAGCTGGTCTTTGAAAAACCTTGTCGAAAGAATGAACTTTAAGGTCAGATCTTGCCTACCAACGTAGTTGTCTGAGGTGAAGAAATCAGCGTTTTCGCATCCTTGTGGTAACCCGAGCTCCACGCAAGGGAAGTCGAAGATGTGGATGCCGATATCGAGACCAGGATTCAGGTTCTTGAATGCGTCGATTTGTTTCTGGAGGATCTTGGCGTTGAGAGGTGTGGTGAGGATTGTAGATTTGGCGCCTCTGGTAGAGAAAAGCTTAGCCATGTCTACAGTAGGTATCATATGGCCATGAGCCATGATAGGGAACAACATAACATGGAGCCTACGAGGGGAATGATCAGTACCCATGTTTGAATTTGGTCGAAAAGAAAATGAGATGTTCTGAGAAACTTAAAAGAAAAATAGTTATGTGAAATGAGAGATTTTGAAGTGATGTTTTCGTGTTTGTAGTAGTATGAGTTTAATACATATCGTCTATGTGTTTATATATAGCATAAAAATTCACATGGAAGCTTGGATCATGGGTGGGACTATTTTTGGGTATATATAATGGTTTCTGACGTGTTTACATACGTCACTTTGTAAGAGTTTTCATTTTTCAAGGTCCTTTGGAACCAAAATCTTGTAACTTGCAGATCGTTATTTATTTACTATCATTAGTTTATCTCTTTTTTATGGAAAAGAAAAGTAAACTGTAAAAGTGATTTGACTAAGATAATTGAAAAGCATTTACTAGAGAATATATACCCTATTGTAGTACTTTATTCATTACACGTAGGGGAGTGATTGCCATATGCAAATTGCTATTTGGAATGTATTTTATTTGGAGACAAGAAACAAGAAAATACTAAAAAAAAAAAAAAAAAAAAAAACGTTACAACATAATTCTGCTAAACTATAAAAATTACAACCACCGTTCTTTACCAATATCACAAACTTATATGTCACTTTCAAATTTAATGAACAAATCCAACTTTTCTTCACATAACAAAAGACATGAAAAATACTTCTTAACACTTGAACAGCAGGTTAGATGGAATTCAACAGCTAATAAAAACAACATAAGTAAATTGTTGTGATTCAAGAAAGAGTAACTCAAATACCAAATCCATTATTCATTAACTTTGCATCTTAATCCGTATGCTAATTAACGGTGCTTTATTCACTTAGCCTATGCTTTGTCTCTTATATATATTTGCATTAGGTTACATCTTTACTTCTCATAGGAGATTCCTAAACGGAATCTATATGTAAAATTATGAACTAAACTCTTCTATGAAGTTATTTAAGTCGTTGAAAGAAGACCCTCCTTCTTCCACTGCGGATTTAGCCATCACCGCCAGCTTCTTGGCCCGCCTCCGCCTCTCCTCTGCCTCTTCCCCAACCAACACCTCCCTCACCGCTTTATCCACTTTCTCTCTGCTAATGAAATCTCCCATAACCTTCATATGTCTTTTCGCTCCCACGCTCACTCCTGTCCTCAGCACTTGCGTAACCAACTTCTCGTTGTAGAATTGCTCCGCTCCAACCGGCCATGTCACCATCGGTACCCCTGCAGCTACTCCTTCGAGAAGCGAGTTCCAGCCGCAATGGGTCACAAACCCACCGATCGCTTGGTGTTCAAGTATCAGCACCTGAGGAGCCCATCCTCTTATTATCATCCCTTTACCTTCCACCCTCTCTTCGAACCCTTCTGGTAACCATGCTTCATTGTCACCTGTTCACACCAAAGTTTGTTTAGAAACCACAGTTGTATTACATTCTATATAGGCTGATAATTGTTTTAAACTTGGATTACAATTAATACCTGTATTTTTCCTAACGACCCAAATGAAACTTGAGCCAGAAGCTTCTAATCCTTGAGCGATCTCGATGAGCTGCTCGTTCTTGAAGTTTACCACGCTCCCAAAAGAAACGTAAATGACTGAATCTGGTTTCTTGGAGTCAAGCCAATTGAGGCATTCTACCTCATCAACGTTTGCTTTCTTTCCTCTCTCAGCCTTCTCCTCAAATCCTCTGTTATAAACAGAGAGCGGACCGATGTGCCAGGCTCTCTTCTGTACAGAGCTTTTGTAAAAATCGGCGTAATCAGGTTCAAGCTCGTAAAAACTATTCACGACAACTCCTGAGCTCTTCACTTCCGATTCCCTAACCTCAGTCATAAACTTCCCCATCTCAGACTCTCCGTCACCATCTATGATCTGTTCTTCAGTAATCAGTATGTTCCCAGGGAGCTCAGGAATCACAAATTGCTCACAGCTCGAAGCTACTCTGTTTTGTGGTTTATGCACTCTGATGCAATGACCAGTTGATAAAGAGAAGTAGCCAGTGCCGTGGAACACAAGCCTTGGCACATTGAACTTCCCAGCAACTTCAGTGGCCCAGGGGAAGAACATGTCGGCGATAAGACAGTCTGGTCTCGTTGTCTCAAGGAGCTTCTCAAGCTGGTCTTTGAGAAACCTTGTCGAGAAAAAGAATTTCAATTCCATCTCGTTTCCATCATCATTGTTTGAAGTGAAGAAATCAGCGTTTTCGCATCCTTGTGGTAACCCGAGCTGCACGCAAGGGAAATCGAAGATCTGGATGTCGATTTCAAGACCAGGATTCAGGTTCTTGAATGCGTCGATTGGTTTCTGGAGGATCTTGGCGTTGAGAGGTGTGGTGAGGATTGTGGATTTGGCTCGTCTGCTAGAGAAAAGCTTAGCCATGTCTAGAGTTGGTATCATGTGGCCATGAGCCATGAAAGGGAAGAACATGACATGGAGCTTTCGATGACCATGATGATCACTACCCATGACTGGCCGGTTGAAAAGAATATGAGATGTGTTTGAGAAAATCTGAGAAAAAAAAACAAATAATAGAGAGATGAAAGAGCTCGTAGAAAATATATTAAATTATTTATTCTCGTCTTGATGAATTTGAATGGTTATAAAGAGTCTATGATTGATTGATATATCTAGATAAAGAACAAGAAATCACGGAAATTTTGGATTCTGATGAGTAAAAAACATAATTCGGTAACGGCTACTGACGTCTTCGCATACGTCTCTAGTTTTGGTTTCTTTGGTACTTTGCTCTTTTAACGTGGCAGAGTTGTCGTAGTAATCTATGATGACTTGTCAAGGTCTTTTGTTAGAACTTGTAACTCGGTTTTGGGATTAATTATCATATCATGAGTCATGACACATACATAATGTTAACATCTTCGAAAATAATAATTATTTTTTTAAACATTTTCGGAAATAATTGTTTAATGCGATGGGTCCTTTTTTTTTTTTTTTTTTTTTTTGTCACTTACATGAATTAATTTTGCTGGTTTTAACTCCGATGGTGCATAACTACATATCCATAACACCCATGCAAAGCAATGGTTTACTTGACTTGGTCAATTAGGGTCTTTGCACTAGAGAAAAGTGTGGTACACGAAGAACGTATATTGCAACTAACCTTAGACTTTTGTTTGAGATTAAAGACGTTTCCCTTAATCGATGTGACGACTGATCGAGAGAATAAAACAAAAACGAAATATTATTAAGGTATGCAAAACTGGTTGATGCTAATTACGGAGTTATAATTGTTAGAGAGAGTTTGATGCTAATCAAATAAAATGTGTGTGGCATTCAAATACTCTCTGAAATTTATTATAATAATTTTTAAAAAGAAGAGTTAGAAACTGATGTCGGTGTGTACCAAATCTATATGGATTCCGTGTCGTTCTTGTTCTTTTTTTTTTAACCTAACTTCACTTGTTGGGTTTGTGTCCTCGTTCCTTTACCAATAGTACCAACTAAGAAGGTCATTCTTTGTAAATTACTTGAATGATCAAATACAATTTTCTGTAGTAATTTTTGGTAACTCAAAACCAGTAGAATTACAAAAACATTGTTCCTTATCTTGCAAACCGTTCAGTTTTTTGTTGTGATTCCTTCTCTTTTTGCAGTTTAACTAACTTAAGTTCTTCCATCAACGTATTCAACTCAATATATGAAGATCCTCCTTCTTTCACGGCGGTTTTCGCCATTTCCCCTAGCTCTTTTGCCCGTTTCCTCCTCTCATCTCCAGCCATCACTTCCTTGACCGCTCTCTCCACTTTTTCTCTGCTGATGAAGTCTCCAACGACTTTCATCATCTTCTTCACTCCTACACTCACTCCTGTTTTCAACACTTGTGTCACCAATTTCTCGTTGTAAAACTGCTCGGCTCCCACGGGCCACGTCACCATTGGCAGTCCCGATGCTACGCCTTCTAGAAGCGAGTTCCATCCGCAATGCGTCACAAATCCGCCTATTGCTTGGTGCTCTAGTATCAGCACTTGTGGTGCCCATCCTCGGATGATCAATCCTTTTCCTTTCGTCTTCTCTTCGAATCCCTCTGGTAACCACTCCTCCTTCTCACCTATTCATATATTAATGCAAAAGAGTATGAAACTTTAACCATTATGTTTTCTCTTAACGAAAAAACAGAGGATTAAGCTGAAAAACAATACCAAGAGAGAGAGAGATGTCTATGGTACCTTGGCTCCCATATTTGTTAACCACCCAGACAAAATCATGTCCTGACATTTCCATCCCAGCTGCAATCTCTATAAGCTGATCTTTATTGAAGCTTGACATGGTTCCAAAGGACAAGTAAACCACTGAATCACATTTCTTGGAATCAAGCCATTTCAAACATTCATGTTCATCAATGCTCGCCTTTTTACCTCTTCCTGCTTTCTCCTCGAACTTTCTATTGCCTAAAGAAAGCGGACCGATGTGCCACGCTCTTCTGGCCACAAATCTCTTTAGAAAACCAGCGTAAGCAGGTTCAAGCTCGTAAAAGCTATTCACCAACACACCAAAGCTTTCTCTCTCTGATTCTCTGATTCCCTTCATAAACTTCCCCATTACAGACTCTTCTTCTTTCTCTATGACCTGTTCCTCTGTAATCACAATATCTCCTGGAAGTTCAGGAATCACAAAGAGCTCAGAACTCGATGCTACGTTCTTGTAAGGCTTGTGGAGCCTAAGGCAATGAGAAGCACATAAAGAGAAGCAGCCTGTTCCGTGGAACACAAGTCTCGGTACTCCAAACTTCTCAGCTACTTTAGTGGCCCAGGGGAAAAACATGTTGCCAACTAGACAGTCTGGTTTCATTGTCTCGAGGACATGCTCTAATGGCTCTTGGAAATATTTCATTGCAAGTAAAAACTTTTGACCCAAGTCACCTTTATCTAGGTCAGGGCTCGAGAAGATGAAATCGGTGTTCTCGCATCCTTCTGGCAAACCGAGCTCTGTGCAAGGGAAATCAAGGATCTGGGTTGTGATGTCTTCGAGACCCGGGTTCTCTTGGTTGAATGATTTGATGGGTTTCTCGAAGAAGAGCTTGGAGTTGAGAGGAGTAGTGAGGATAGTGGATTTAGCTCCTTTGGTAGCGAAGAGCTTGGCCATGTCCAGAGTCGGTATCATGTGGCCGTGAGCCATGAAAGGGAAGAGCAAGAAATGGAGCTTATTAGAGACTTCGCTCGAAGTTCCCATGTCTTGCTGATAAGAAATCAATATCTGGGGTTCTGTAGAGAACAAATTGAAAAAAAAATTGAATGTGTTGTGTATGAAGAAGTTTGAAGGTAAGAGTATGAAGTTTGACAGCAAACGATTGGTTCTTATGGAAACACGATATTTCACACTTTCCATATAATATTTAATCCATAATCTAATCCCTTTAATAATGTTATATTATAGTATTAGTACAGTATATGATAAGATCGTTTTTGACGTCCAAAAGTGCATCGTTTTGCCAATAATACACGACAGACGGAGACTTGACGAGTGTTGCAAACTCTGTTTTGATTTACAATCACAAAAGGACAAAAACTCTAAAAATCAATGTTTCTAAAGAAGAAAGAGATCAATAGTTTTAAAAGTATGGATAGATTTGATTTTCTAAGTTTCGTAATCGACTAATCGTATTATATAAAAATCGGAAATAGAAAAAAACCAAAATCTGGTCGAGCTCTGAGTCAGATTAGCTTGTCTTCCTTTTGACATATTTTGAAACTGACAAAAATGTCTATGAATTACAAAAAAAGAAAAAACATATGATATCCTCATGGAATCCCCACGTCATGGCATTCGTCATTCTTCTTTTGAATCCATCTTCATATCATCCCGTCAATTGGGCTTCTCCTTACTGGGCCTGATCCGTAACATTCCGGTTTAACCGTAAATTGGATTCGGAACGCAGAACCTCATTGGTTTGGCTCGCCACCACCAAACCAAACTATTCTCGTTTCGTTTCTTTACAATCGTGTTTTTTTATTTTTTTTTGGTCTCTCTTCAACAGAACTTTAAATCCTGTATTTGAAACAAAATTTCACAAGCGGCTTTTTGATCTTTTTGATTTGTCAAAGGGCTTTTTAGTTTCATTAATCTTTTCTTTGGTTGTTTGTTGAGATTCCTGCAAAGATTATCCTCATGCCCGACGACGATAAAGAAGAGTTGCAGGAATCCAAGGAAGAAGACTCCTTCGTTTGGGACAACGATACGCAGCTCTACATCCATCACAGGCTACGTCTCTTACCAAATTTACTCCCTTTTTCCACTCTAGGGCATTTTATTTTATAGCCTAGTTTCCGTAGCCCCGATTTAGTTTTGTAATAAATTAAGCAGCCATTGTCCATTGTTTAGGTTCTGATATCTTTGTGTTCAATTCTTGTATCTTACATAGTTTACTGTATAAGATATCTACTATTTAGGTTTTAACGATAAGGAGTTGATAAATTATTGAGGTTGATGCTTGATTCCATTAAACTTAACAACTATCCTTGCACATGCCTAATGTTTTTGATAATTGTATGCTAACTTTGTTTTTAAATTTTGTGAATTTGCAGTAGTGGGTTTTATCATGATCCAAATGCTGGCTGGTATTATTGTAGCAAGGATGGTCGTTACTACAAGCATGAGAATGGTGAATATCTTCCCTTAAAATATGACGAGTCTGGCGTGAACCCTCCTGGTGATCTATCCGAAGATGATTCAAGCAGAAATTATGCTCTTGCTCAGGCTGAGAATGTAGAAAATGAGTTTAAAGTTTCACTGAGTAATCCTGAAGAAGCTCCTTCAGGTAAGTTTACATGTAGTGTGCTGGTGAATTATTGCATAGCATCTATAATAGATTATTGGATAACTGATAGACATACTATTTGCTCGAAAGAGCCAACAGGGTACTCAAATGACCAGGAACATAAACATCCTCAACGACCTTCCTCATGGTAGGTTATATATCTTTTATTGTCATCGTAAACTTATATATCTTTCTTCATCTTATGGCTTATGATTTTTTTTTTTTCTTTTCTTTGGATCAGGGTGGAAGATGCACTTATTGAACTTTATCTGGCTGGTTATAAACAACAGCCCAGTAATTCCAGCTATAAGATGCCTTCAGGGGAATATACTCAGGATCATCATATGTTGTCAGCTAATGGTCTTTGCCTCGGATAGTGCTTATTAGCCTTTTATATTGCAAACTTTGGAATGAATTTGCTCTTCAAGTTTGAAATTTTAGGAGAGAAGCTACAATTGTGTTTGTTCTCCAGGAGATGATGATGCTGAGGAACTTGAAGAGGGAGAATGGATTCCTGAAGAGGATTTTGATCCACAGGAAGAGAACTTTTATGAAGGTGTGTAATCTCCTTATGTTCTTGTTATCTGCTTTCATTCTGCACCATATCGGCTTTCTTGGTTATAAGGTTATTGAAATATTAAGATAATAAATCCTTTTTCCTCATTAGCTGATCTTAAGTGTTGAATGATTAACTATCCTGTAATGTTTTTAACAGAATCTTGTTACTTCGATCATGTTTTTTTTCTGTAGCTCATATTCATAACTTTGACGCTCATAGTTTCATTTCTAGCTGCTCCTTCAAGCGAGGAAGAAAGATGGCTAGCACAATATGGTCAAGTCATCGAATTCCCAGAGAAGACCCTGCCTGAGATCCCGTCTGTTGATTTGTGGGATTGGAAACTTGTTTGTGAAACCAAAGAAGCTTTAGCTGACAATAAACAGGTGGCTAGGTTAGTAGGGAGGCTGGTCAGACGGTCTGCCAACCTTCATCCATCTGTGGCTTCTGGTGGCACACTTCTCAAAACTGCTCCAATTTGTGAAGCACGACTTCACCTTGTGCGAGTTAAGACAGGTTTACCTTTTCCTTCTAACGGAGTCTTGTTCCTGAACAAATATTGTTTTGTTGAATGGTTTTCGTTAAGCATATGTGCTTTGTTGTATGGGGAACCATAGAAAACGAATCTGATTTTCAAATCATTTGTTCCAGGTCAGGTCTATAAACTTCGAAATCCTAGTGCCAAATACCTTGCATCCTTGTCAGTATATGACTCCTCCAACCCAACAAAAGATTGGGGATTCCCTGATATTTCAACTGCATGGCAAAATCCTGATACAAAACGCAAAGTTAAGAAGGTGAAACCAAAAACTGACTGCAAAATTACACTGAAGCATCGTGAAATCGAGATGACTAAAGAGGTACTCTAAGTCTACCTTTATGGCTGAATTCTTGTATTGTGTGTTTTAGAATGCCTGTGAAGGATGTTAAAATTCTGCTTCTGCCAAATATCTAGCAGGAGACAAAACACAAAGCTAAGAAGGTGAAATCAAAAACTGACTGCAAACTTACAGTGAAGCCTCGTGAAGTCGACATATTTGAAGAGGTACTGAAAATCCACCTTCATGGCTGAATTCTTGTATTTTACGTTTCAGAATGTTTGTGAACGATGTTGACATCCTGCTTCTTGAACTTCTGCCAAATATGTAGCAGGAGACAGAAAGAAAAGCTAAGAAGGTGAAACAAAAAACTGACTGCAAACTCACAGTGAAGCCACGAGATGAAGTCAATATGATTGAAGAGGTACTCCAAATCCACCTCCATGGGTAGATTCTTGTATTTTTATGTTTCAGAATGTTTGTGAGGGATGTAAACATCCTACGTCTTGAAGTTCTGCCCAATCTCTAGCAGAGACATTTTTCTAAAGCTCTGTGTATGGGGGCTTCCAGTGAGAAACTTAATTCTGAGATTTAGTGTTATTAGAACCATAATAAGCTACTATTTTGAGATTTCCATTCTTGCTCGTTGTTTGTTTTATCATCAGAGAAGCTGTACATACAGAGATAGAGCCGCTGAGAGAAGAAATTTGCATGGCGGATATGGTGTTGGGCCAGGTCAAAAAGGAACAATGGTGGGCCAGAACATGGACGAGCATTCAGTTCCCGACACAGCTTCTAAAGAAGAGGCAGCAACAGAAGCATTAGAGTTATCATTTGGATCTGGAAGCTATGCAAGGAGGATAATGGGAAACATGGGATGGAAGGAGGTAACTTGTGAATCTATCTCTTATGAGTTTTTGGTGTTATTTGGTGTCAAGCGTAATTATGGTTATTGGGGGAAATGGTAATGCAGGGTGAGACGCTCGGGAAGAATACAAAAGGTTTGGTTGAACCGATACAAGCTGTGGGCAACACTGGGAATGTAGGGCTAGGTTTTCCTCAAAGGAGAAGGAAATAATCTGAGGAACCAGATTTTTAACAGGTTCTCTCTTTATGGGACTCTTTAAGGTGTTCATACATTACATGAGAATGTGAAGCTGTGTAACTATAGTACGTGGATTGGCTTTTATAACAAAGCTTCTATGAGACTGAGGTTGCATAAATTAGATAAGGCAAGAAAAATGAATGAAAACAATGTATTTTGATTGAAACAGTCAATTTAATATCCCAATTAGAGATGTCCAGTGTTCTTTTGGTTGAAAAAGTCAATTTAATATATAAACGGATTAGCCAATTTCTTTGAAATCTTTCACTATGAATAAAAAGGTATTTCAACAAAGTTCTGCAGGAAAATTGTTTAATCTTATATTCCTCTCTATATATAACTCAAAAGTTTCTTCTAGATTACATCTGAAAGGGTTATAATCTCTCGTAAGCTTGAAAACTTATCCCATCATCTTCAATAATTGGTCTACGAAGAAAGACTGGACTTAATCATCATACCACTTAAACTTCAAATGATGTGAATGCGTTTTAAGTAATGGTTTTGGGATGTTGTTCAGTTTGAGCGCCATTGGACGCATTCGAGTGAAAGACTTTTGGTTTTTGTCTCCATCCTTTTGAGTTCCAGCCGCCGTATATCATCATCCGCAAAGGTAATAAGTGGTATCTAGCAAAAAAAACAAAGCTTATCTATATTGACTTACCAAGTGTGATATATATATGTAGTCGTGAATTTTTTAATAATAATATTGATGGATAGAAGATTTTATTCATTGTGTGGATTGTGTAGAACCCGTTTGCCGTGTCTCCAAATCTTGTAAAGCTTTCTTATCTCGAACCACACTATTAAACGGTCGTTACGATAAACATAGTCTGCAAAACCGACTTTGACATATTTTTGAAATTTAAAGTTTTTAAATTCATATTAATAGTGATTGAGAAATTTTGTAAAAAGATTATCATTCGTCAAATTTTATTTAACAAAAGGAAGAAAATAAGAAAAGAATAGATATTTATTAGACTTTAAATAATTGAGAGAAAACAATAATTAAAAAACGCGTAAATTAAATTAAATCTAAAGCCGTGGTGAGAGATAAAGAGAGTTATTTATGTAAAAGTCAAAATAATGGTCAGCGGCTTACGATACGCGTCTTGTTCTTCTTCTTTGAAAGCAACTTCTTCGTAATTCATCAAAGTTCCCATTTTTATTTTTATATAAACCAACCGGATTCTCTCTCTGGTGGATTCAGCTCCGTTCGTTACCTTCCTTTTCTCAATCTCGTTCTTTTCGTGCAAACCCTAATCTCTCTTTTGCTTCTTAACATCAATCCAATTCCTCTGTTCAATTCATGTCGATGATGTCGGGTATACAAGGCCAGGTTCTCGAGGTCACTGGTTCGTACCTTTTTCTCCTCTCTCGCGTCCCTTCGTGTCTTTTTATGTTCTTCAACCTAATTTATGGACCCTTTGAATATTCCTAATTTATACATAAAGGTGTTAACTTTTTTTTCTTTTTCTGGAATTCTTTTGATTATTCAGTTGTTGGGTGCCAGAAATTGAAAGACACCGAATGGTTTTCAAGGCAAGATCCATACGTCGTCCTTGAGTACAGCGGCGCAAGACACCGTACCAGAACCTGCACAGGTCATCATTAGCTCTTCTATTCATACGATTTGTCTCAGATCCATATAATTTGCAACAAAGTTAAGATCTTTCAGTTCTGAAAGAGGTTTGAAGCTTTACTAATCTATTAAATTGATTGATGGGTTTGTTTCAGATGGTGGAAAGAACGCTGTTTTCCAAGAGAAGTTTATGTTCACTTTGCTTGAAGGGCTTAGGGATCTTAAGGTAGCTGTCTGGAATAGCAATACTCTCTCCACTGATGACTTCATTGGGAATGCAACGTATGTCACTTTCCCTTTGTGTGTGTGTGTTTTTTTTATGCTTAGATATACCTGATCTGGATTTCGAATTGAGTCTTTTGCTGTCTGTTGTTTCTTTTGATTAGGATTCAATTGCAGAAGGTTCTTTCTCAGGGATATGACGACTGCACCTGGACTCTTCAGACTAAAACTGGGAGGTATGAACCATTAGTTTTACTTGTTTTGGTTCCTTTTGCATTTGAGTATCATGATGCACATTGGTCTAGCTGATTTTGGTGATGGACTTGCTCATTTTTAGTGAAACCTTTGATGTGGTTTGTACTTTATGGTTATTGAAAGTGTAGTTTCACCAATTGCCTCGCTATGTTTGTGTGTCTTATGCCTTCTAATAAAGGAAGTTTTAGTTCTTGCCATTTACTAAAATTGCTGACATGGTTTTGTTTACTGATCAGAATCGTTATGTGAGTTCCTAGTCATTTCTGGTGTAAATAGAATTGCAATCTACTTGAATTCAAAGAACTTGCACCTCTTATCATTGCCAATCTGGGAACTACTTGTTCAATTTATTCCTAATAGTATGTGGATAGTAATTATTATGAGGAGCTTTGAATGTTTTGTTTCTACATCGAGGATACTCACAGTTAATGTAGCATTCAGATTGGTATTCTCTGGAACTTATTAAGACAACTAGACGTTTTGAGATATATGGAGTTGGTATTGTCTGTTGTTAGGTTACTTCAAAAAAGAGAAACGAAGTTCCGTTTAAACATTGTAGCATTAAATTAGTATTTTTTAGGTATGTCATTTTTATTTTTAACAGGAGAAAGTTATAGATGAGCACAATCAACTATTGTTTCAGTCCATACAAAAAAAAGGCTATGTGTTCTGTTTTCTTAAATCCCTGTAAAGTCGGTTACAACATGCAAAAAATTGGTAGCTTGACCTCAGTAATTGCTCCTTATAACTTAGATTGTTGTTTGATTATAAACCTTCTGAACATGAATCAACCTTTCTGTCTTTCAGATTCGCTGGAGAAGTAAGACTCATACTGCATTATGCAGGAGCAAAGGTAAAGTCTGAGACTCAGTTAACAACATTGTTTTACATGTTACATTATAAACAAAAGTATAAACATACAATCCATTCTTGTATGCAGAAACATAATTATGCGGCTGCTCCATCAGCTCCATATGCGCCTCAAGTGCCTCAATACTCAGCACCCCCTTCTGCATCTCCGTATTCATCAGCACCTCCTTCTGCATCTCCGTACTCATCAGCACCATACACTGGACCATCTCTATACCCACAAGTACAACAATACCCACAGCCATCAGGATACCCACCAGCTTCAGCCTATCCTCCTCAGCCATCTGCGTATCCTCCTCCTCCGTCAACCTCGGCTTACCCTCCGGTACCTTCAGCTTACCCTCCTCCTCCACCATCCTCAACTTACCCTCCTCCTCCATACCCTCCTCAACCTTCGTATTACTCACAAGGTACAATAATTGTCCTTTCTTTTTCATGTATGTGCTTCAATTGATAGCGCTTGCTGTTCTCTAACTATTTTGAATGGTGGTTGATCTTGTTTCTTCTTGTTTCCAGGTCCATACCCAGGACAATACCCACCTCCTCCGTACTAAAAGCTCGGGCGTTTAGAATTTGACGGAAAATGGTTATGATGTATAGATAATAGTGATGGTGTTTCCTAGAATATGGTGACGAATTTATTTCCTTCTTTTATATCTTCTTTGTGCTATTGTTGGCCTTTGCAAATTCTAGCGTGCTGGTTAATTTTTTGTGATGCTTATTAGAAGTTGGAAACTTTTCATATTATTAAGATCGCAGATTCTCTTTCAAATCTATTGAATTATTACTCCAAACCCTTCTTTTTTGTGTGTCGATAAAGCATCATTTCTCAAGGGGTTCAGTCTTAAACGCTTAAGATCTGGAATGGAGCCATGTGTGTTACTGTTTATGATCATGGATCTTCTGAAGTTTCTCATCAGATAGTAATTAGAAAAGGGAATGTGGTCAATGCATCGTATATAGCCATGTACTGTGGTTATTAAAACATTAAACAAAAAAAAAATATTATTGTTGACAATTGCCACAAAAAGGAGTAGAATTTAGTTAAATTAGCCGACAGATTTTACTGCACTTTGGTTTCTCGATCTCTACTCCAATGAGTAAAAGTGAGTAAAGCGGGAAACAGCAAAAAGATATCACACATTTTATTTAATAAATAAAAAAGAAAAAAAGAAAGAAATTTCACATTTAATATCAATGAAAAAAATAAAAAATAAATATATAATAGTCGTATAGGCGCAAGTAAAAGACAAACGTAAAAACCAACTCGCCTTGTCTCATAAATCAGTCTCACTTCTTTTCACTCTCCTTCCCACTTCCACAGCTTTTCTCCTCTCTCTCTCTCTCTCTAGTCTCTCTTTTGTAGCTCTTCCCTGCAGCTACCTAAAACCACTGCACGTTTCCATAGAGAGGGAAGATGAGTCTCTCTCCGAGAGATTTTCTCTCTATCATCTTATCTTCTTCTGTGTAATGATCTGAGCCAAACCCACCCCCCAAATAACAACTATACACACGAGAAGAGAAGATCTTATCCTTCTTCTCATTCTTGAGTTCATCTCCACAATGGCGATCCCAAAGGAGGAAGAGACTAGAGAAGAGCAGAGCAATTCGTTTCTTCTTGATGCTCTCTACTGCGAGGAAGAAGAGCAATGGGAAGACGAAGAAGACCAAGTTGAAGAAAACTCTTCCTCTTCTTCTTCTTCTTCTTCTCCGTTCGTTCTTCTTCAGCAAGATTTGTTCTGGGAAGACGAAGATCTGGTCACTCTCTTCTCCAAAGAAGAAGAACAAGCTGGACTCAGCAGCTGTCTCGATGACGTTTATCTCTCCACGGATCGGAAAGAAGCTGTGGGTTGGATTCTGAGAGTCAACGCTCATTATGGCTTCTCTACTCTGGCTGCTGTTTTAGCCATAACTTATCTCGATAAGTTCATCTGTAGCTACAGCGTACAGAGAGACAGACCGTGGATGCTTCAGCTCGTCTCTGTCGCTTGCCTCTCTCTAGCTGCTAAAGTCGAAGAAACTCAAGTCCCTCTTCTTCTAGACTTCCAAGTAAATGATGATACTTGAGTTCATCTACCTTAAAGTTTCCTCTTTTATCCCTCTCTGTTCTCATCTCTCTCTGTTTTGTTTTTTTGGTAGGTGGAGGAGACAAAGTATGTGTTTGAGGCCAAAACCATACAGAGAATGGAGCTACTGATCCTGTCTACTCTCGAATGGAGGATGCATCTCATCACTCCAATTTCGTTCGTAGACCACATTATCAGGAGATTGGGACTTAAGAACAATGCTCACTGGGATTTCCTCAACAGATGCCACCGTCTCCTCCTCTCTGTAATCTCCGGTTCGTAAACGACAACCAAATAAATTTCTCTGCCATCTACTGAATCTGAATAATCTCACATTCTTGTCTTATCTTCCTCCATTGTCACTGTCAGATTCAAAATTTGTCGGGTACCTCCCATCAGTAGTTGCCGCAGCTACCATGATGCGAATTATAGAACAAGTTGAGCCCTTTGACCCTCTTTCATACCAGACTAATCTCCTCGCTGCCCTTAACTTAACCAAGGTTTAGCTTCTTAATCTCTCTACTAATAAAACTCTCTTTTCACTCAAGACGCTCAGACAACTCTCGTGCATTATTATTAACAGGAAAAGGTGAAAACTTGCTACGATCTAATCATCCAACTAGACCGCATCGGTTTACAGATCCTAAACCAATCTTCCCGTAAACGTAAGAGTCACGAATCATCATCATCACCATCATCGTCGTTGAACAGCCCAAGCTGCGTGATCGATGCAAACCCTTTCAATAGCGACGAAAGCTCAAACGATTCGTGGTCTTTGAGCTCGTACAACAATCCAACATCGTCGTCGTCACCTCCACTGCAACAACAACAACAACCTCCATTAAAGAAGATGAGAGGAGCTCAAGAGAATGATAAGAAGAAGCCGATTTTGCATCTACCATGGGCAATCGTTGCCAGTCCATAATCGAAAGCTCGATTTCGTTTTTTCTTTTTTCCCGTTTATATATATATATATTATTACTGTTTTGTAAACTTTGAGAACAAATCTTTGTATTAAGCTTTCCCCGTTTGCATATACGAAATGTCGCGAATGCCCTTACTTGCCATGGCTTGGTAGAGCAAATGGGTGGAGGGTATTCATGACATTTGACTGCATGGGATGTGATGAAGAGAGGAATTAGAAATAATAATAGTCTTTGCGTAAATTTTGAGGCTTTTGCAATTTATCGGCCGTAATCTCCGGTGTTATTAGTAGTATTATTTAATGTTTATAAATTATGACGAGTTCTAAAAAATTTACTGAAAAAAAAAATAGAAAAATATATCCACTTGAGTGCCAAAAATGTTAATATAAATTTTAGTTACAAAATGGTTAAATTCGTAATACAGCCATAAATATATAAATCTTTTAGCATAACACTTAAATAAAAATGAGATTTTAAAACGACTGGTGTATGTATATTACGAAAAAAAAAAAGATGAAATAGTATTTTAAAACATTGAATGAGACAGTTGTGTTTATGATGGAAAGTGAGTGAAGGATTTAGCTTATTTTTAGGCTTTGACTTGGGGTGAGAACTGGAGAGAGCCAATTGTTGCTTTTTTCGGTTGAGTCTTTTAAAAATTATTAATTCGCTTTCAAACATTATGAAAAAAAACAATTTAAATTTTGGAAAAACGGAAAGAAAAACAAGAAAACCAAAAATGTTGAAAACGAAACACAATCGCTTTAGATTTTGTTTACACTAAAGTCTTAATCAAAACCTGCCCTACGTGCTCAAAGCGCGCGTACAATTCATTGTTAGATGATACATGTTTTAAGTTCTCGAAAACAACATAGCATTAGCATGATGATTATAAATGTTTTTTAAGTTCTCGAATCCATAATTTAATTAGGATCGTTCGTTGACCAGTACTAGTCTAGTAGATATAATTAAATTACGACAGCAAAGACAAGGAGGAAAGAAGTGTGTAGTACACGCGCCATATCAACGGGTGTTCAACCACAGAACCCAACTGCTTCCACTCTGAGCACCTGGGATTAAGCCACGTGTTCTATATCTTTTATCTTCACTAACATCAAATCATTGTTACTGTTCTTATTTATACTTGTAACTTGTAAGCAAATCTGTAGAAGCTAATAATATATGACGACAATTTAATACCTTTAGATAATTGAATGAATATATATATATATATATATATATACACACTCTTATTTATCAAAAAAATAATAAAAAGTTAAAAACTGTAGTATTACGTCAGCCACATTGGTTATATAAATTAGATTTTTTAATCTTGAAGATATGTAAAATCTACTATTATAAAATCCATTTTTTTTGTATCACGGAAAAGGTTATACGATAATGCGTTTTTTTGTATCACTGAATTATATATTTATAGGAAGCTTTAGGTGGTGAATCTTCTCTCCTTCTTCTTTTACGCTTTTTCTTTTCCAATCCAAATTTTGTTTTCTCTTTGGACTTTTTTTTTTCTTTTTTTCTTTTGTTTTTAGCAATAGCAAAAAAAAAAAAAAAGAATAAGAGAAGTTTAACTTTTTTCACGTGTGACACGAATTTTCTCTTTTGGGGATTTTTATCTTATCGTTCTTTTTGTCATTTTTTTTTTCCCAATTCATTTCATTATTTGTTTAGAAAAGAAAAAAATGTGATAATGGCTTTAGCTGAATCTGATGATGTCGTTTCATAACGCTCAGCCTCACGTCATCGAAAACGTGCCAGCTCCTCTTTTTTACGTAATTTGTTTGTAACATCCTTCCTACAAATACGTCTAGCTACGTTTAGGTTATTCTTTAAAACAATACTACCAAAAAAAAAAAGTTATTCTTTAAAACAACAGGTATACACGTTCTTTAACTTCAAACTACATCTTCTCTATGTATGTATACACGATGAAGTAACATACGACATTGGATCATTTGCATGACAATATAAACTATCTTCTCATTAAACTAAAAAATAATGTATCCGAAGTTACGTACCGAATTGACATAAATAAAGAAAAATCGACGACATAGCATGACCATAAATGTAAATAGCTAATGACATAAATATGAAAATCTGAAGTATATGTGTAAATGGGGAGGTTTTCTAAATGGGAGACCAAAACAATCTTTGTAGTTATTTCGTTTTCTTCTATATACGAAAAAAAATAAAAATAAATAATATGTTTGTGGAGAATGTGTTGTCTGTGTCCTTTCTTTTTATTTTGTCTCTTGTAATGGTCTTCACCTCTTTAAGGTAATGTTATCAATATATATCATGGTACCATACGCATCTCGTGAACCATATTATGACTTGCCTTCAATTATTTTCATTTTGCCTGAAACAAAAGATATAGAGATCGATCAGAAGAAAAAGAGAGAGAATGTATATTATTTGCTTCGAATAAGAAAAAAGAAAAAACTAAAAATAAAAAATAAAATTAAAAAAAAAATAAAAAAAAATAAAAAAAGAAAAAACAATTCTTTTTATATAAGTGCATCCCTTTTTTTATGGTATAAAAATATATACATATATTCTTCTCGATTGAATAATTCATTCCCTCCCATTCCATTCCATTATTACCATCCCATCAACGACACAGATGTGAAACTGTTCTTAGTCAGCTTTGAATATTTTTTTTAGAAGAAGTAAAATAATTTAGGTGTTAAAATCGATGCTTTTCATTGTATTGAAGAAAACTCTCAGTTATACTATAAAATAGAAAAATGAGCTTTTTTGGTAAAAGAAAGAAATGAAAAAAATTTGGTTCTGTGGAAACGGGAAAAAGGAAAACAGCTTGCACCCAACATTGGAGAAAGGGCAAAGAGGTCAATGTGTCCCTACGATCCAATAATTTATAGAATAATACTATCATTCTCTCTATATATGTGACCTTTATATATAGATATATCTTAATTATTTCTTCTTTTGACCTAGTCGCTTCCTTTTCACTTCCCAGTTCCCACTCTTCTTTTCCCTTTTTTATGTAAGTTGGAGCATGATGGGAAGCAAATGTGGTCAAAATGTTTTGCGGGGGAGAGAACTTTCCTATACATCAAAATGAGCTATTTATGAAACTTTGCTTCTACTCTAACACTTGATTCATCGATATATGTTCTTACATTCGATTTACATCACTTGAGTGAATAAACTACCAACGTCATCAGGTTAAATGCCTCGTGAAGTGTGTGCACATTTTGAACTACGTCCCATACCACACACACTAGTTGCATATTGCTTCTATCTAATCTATCTATACGACTTTCCTCAACGTTACAACTTGCATGTATAGCTTTATAAGACCACAATTCGCTTCGTGGCTTCAAGCTTGTATCCTCGATCGGCTTGCTTCATTATCTGATTGTTTTCTTGGCGTTTACATTGACGTCGTTACTTACCATGACAACCATTACCAAATTCCCAATAATGTTTTTATCTGATAGGATTTTAGAAAGACTCATTTTGCTAGATTCATATTTGAAGCTATAGTTACTTTCGTTAATTTAGCCACATGTATGTAATCATCGAGCGATAAAAAAAAGTGTAAGCCTTCAAAATCTTTATGCGTTTACACACATATATGATATAAAGAACATATGTCGCCGTTAAAATTTTTTATAAAGAAGTCATTTAAATAAATACTTGAATTATTCTCTTTGTTGACGATTTGGCCGAAGCAAATAAAAAGTACTCCTATACTAATTTTACTTTTACAATAATGAGTACTGCACAGACGATTTTCTACTAGTCAAGGTTTGTTGACAAAATCACATGCATTGCAAAAAAATTAGGACATGATTAGCTTCAAAACAAGGAAGTGGGATGAAAAGAAGTAAAAAAAAATAAAAGTGACAAAGAGCTTCATTCTCAAATTTTTAGTCCATGATTATGTCTCACAGCTGCAAAGTCTATCATGGTGGTTCATAAAAACCAAGTAATCATTGGTCCAATGCAGTAAATAAAACAAAAAAGAAAGTCATGTTTGGAAACTTTTAAATACAAAAGAAATATATTGTAATTTTTTCTCTCATATGATCACATAATATATATACTTTTTATATTATGAGATTATATAACAATCGAGGTTTTTGATAAATATGCTTCAACGTGGGTTGGTAATTTCTTTTTGGAAAATGGATACGGACTATTTCTTACTTCCAAAGAGTTAAGTCAAGTATCATCGGACTTTTTGGACTTTCAGTTTGCAATTAAGAACAACTATTGTATTTTTAGACTTTTAGTTATGAACTTGAGATTATTTCGACTTTAGTTGATAAACAACGTACTGACCATATATTTTAACAACAGCTACGATATATAGTCAACAAAAAATTATCTTTATTCAAACTATTATTTCGCCATTGAAAATAAATACCGAACTTTATTCAATACAAGAAAATATATTGACATGCCATTTGAATATACAGCTTGCTAAATTTCAGGAATAGCTAGAAAAATTAGAAAATTTAATTTATATACCAAATGCCGAATATTTAAATGAAAATGTTAAAATAAATGTAAATTAAACATGCAACACGGGAGACATAAATAAGATGCATCCAAAGATCTCTTCAAATGATTAGTAATTAATTGAGCAATTATGGCAATAATAATATTTAAAAAAATCAAAATGTTGTATACAAGGGTATATAAATGAAGTAGGTCCGAATGAAATTATAAAATTTGATCAAAAAAAAAGAAAAGAAAGGTGTATAGTATATAGTGTGAGCTGCCATGCCAATGCAGAGCCTGTCGCTATGGCCCTCTCCTTCAGGCAAATCAGACTGCAGGTCCCAAAAACCTTGTTCTATTTCGTGATTCACATTATTGTATGCTTTTATCTCTACACTTCTCATTTGTACATTCATTATTTTTTAGTCTGTACATGTTATCTTAATCATCCGTACATATATGATATAATATATGCATATAAATTTAGCATTTTTAGACCATTTTCAATCAATATATATAGCACACCTTATTTGAACGTAACAATTAACTACTAAGGAAAAGAGTAAATGCTCAGTGAATTATACAACTGCTAATATAAACCGACCCAACCCAATACTAGTGCAACTGGTATAATCGGGTATCCAAGGTGGTATTTGTGTATCCATATAATTTAATAGTGGTCACAATCTCATATATGAAGCCAAATCTCTAGTCTCACGGTTTCACAAAGAAACATTAAGAAACATACAAAACTTTCCCAAACACTTTCTCTCTTTTTATTTTGCATGATTTTATCGATTGGAGCTACACATAAAAAGTTTCTGTTTGAAATTAGAATATTTCGACAGAAGCTAAGCTAGTACTCTAAGATAAGTTTTGTTTGGCTTGAACGTTAAACTACCTCTAAGATATACTAGTAGTTATTTAATGGCTTAAGTTATTTTGACATACACTCCATAGTCTCCATGCAGCAATATAATATACAATCCATATTAGTACTGATAACAAACATTACCACTTTACTCATCAATTGGTTTCTACTTTCTATCCACTAAAATGGAACTACGAGAGATTTATGTGTGTGAAACTCACAAAACGCTCTTGCATCTAGGATATATATGTATGTATATATGATTGTGATTCTGTGAAGTGGATTCTTGTGTTAATTTTTTTTTTTGTTAAAGGGTTTAAGTTGATTCTTGTATTGAGATTTACGAAATGGGAAATGACATAATGATTAGAAAATTCGTTTGTAGATTTAGATGTATATTGAGTAAATGCGCATAACTAAACTAATATACCAATTAGGCGGAGTGCATGTACATATTAGTTTACGTTGCTATCTCGCTTATGGATGGATATAGACGACACAGTTTGTTTCCTTCTACTTGTCGCGTTGCCCTTTCCTCTGTTTATTCTAAGTGTCTTACAAATTTTAAATTTGTTCTCTATCTACCAACATTTAGTAAGGTAATCTTTAGTTCTAACCAATAGTAGGATAATAGCTAGTGATGAGAAAATAACTCGTTTTATTTTTGGAAATAAGAAGGGAAGCTATATTATATACTGAAAATATATTTATAACTTAATCATCGGATGCTGTTATATTGTGATTTTTGATTTTCATATTGTCGTCGTATTGGAGTAAAGGTAATCATCATACGGTACAAGCAATTAGAGAAGAAAGATGACACTCACGAGATATGTATTTTCATGTTGTCCAAATTCGTGGGCAAACGATTCACTCTGAAATTGTGGTCACACAAAATTATGACTCAGTATCTTTTTTTTGTCCTCTATGCTTAAAAAAAAAAAACTCCATTAATTTTATTTTCTCGTTCACAGATTAAAAAAAAAAAAAAACTAAAGGGAAGATATGTATATGTAGGTATGATGCATATTATGGACTTGACGGTTGAATCGTACGTACGTATTACTTGAACTAGTAAATGTCGGGATTTTGACAGAGGAAGCGAATGAGCAAAACTATGCCAACATATTAAATAAAGCCAGAGCTTCGATTCAATTTTTTATCTTCATGAGTTATAAGATTTACTTTTTACCTAACATTACTACCATTGTACTTGTGATATTTATTGAATTTTACCTTTCATATTTTATTTTATTTTTATCCATATAGAAACCAAAAATAATGTATAATTTTATAAGGATTATAAAATAATTAATATAAACTTCAACTCTTTGATACATTTAAATCTAAATATATAAATTATATCATATAATATATAAAGGACTTGTGCATGTTCTTGAACCTTTTTATTCCATGCCGTGTAAACCTACAAGATATATATTATAAAAAAAAATTATGTGAATTAAGTATCTACAAAATATTTGGTTAGATAAAAGACAACCGATAAAACAGTTGTACAAAAACAAATAATTTTGGGTTAAACTGAAAATTTTAAATTAAGTTAAGTTTTTTTATAAATAAACTTTAATTTCTAAGTTGCTTTTTGAGATGTTAATTGATAAGAAATCAGATTTGTTTCTAGATACTTGTCGGTAAAGATTTATGCTCTTTTTTATGATTAATAGGGCAACTAATCTACTCTCGTGAGCATAGATTAGTAATGGTTGACTATAAATGAATTATTATAAGAAAAGAAAAAAACAAATTTGAGTGTATAATGATCTGTCCATTTAAACTAAATGAGTATAGTTCACCAACAGTTTTATTTTTCAGACAGTTGAATGTTAGATGGTTATATTCAATCCGACTGGTCCAACAAGAATCAAACACGACATATTTGCAGGGTTTAATCAAAGCTTGCATCTACGAAAACAGAAACGACATCGAGTCAAAACTTGTATGTACCCATATAAACTTGACAAAGTGATTGAGTCGATGAAGAGTATTGGGAGGGTCAGTAATTGTTTCTACTACCAAGGTGTGTGGGTAAGAAAATTAATTGCAATGACAAATTCGAGGTCAATTCAAAGAGTTGTGACAAACCAAAACATAAAGAAAAGGAAGCAAAGGATTGTGGTTTTTCCAATAATACATTAGAATATTTTAAGTTTTATTGCGACATACTAAACACATAAATGAATGTAGTAAAATGCAGTGAGTTTAGATGTCTCATCAATCATCATTCATCACTGCAAAAGGATGTCTTGCTTCCTTTTATTTATTTCTGGTATATTAGACAAAGATTTTGTGGGTATCTTTTACTCTCTACCACTATTAAAATTGACCTATTATCTCTTTCTGTATTTACTATTTACTTTTACCTCTTTTCAAATTGTAAATATCATTCTTTTCTTTGGTGTGGAAAATAGATGTCCTTGTTAAGTCTTGAAACCAAATTCTAAGTTACCAACGACCTCACCAGGCAGGCTTTGAAGTCAAGCCCATTTAGACAGTGGCATCAAGTGAGTCAATTAGTTAGTTATTGTCCTAGCTAAGAGCATGGTTCAAGATGATCACTACGACCTGTTTATTTTTGTATGATAACTGTGAAAACCAAGTATATATAAAGAGAACAATTACAACTATAATGATGATAAAATTAAAAGGATTTATTATATATGTGAATGATGACGAACATATAGCATGAAGTGATTTATTACTTTGCCCTAAGACCAACACATAGAATTGAATTAAACATCCAATGATAAAGTAGCATAATGTTTTGAGGCATGCTCTGTTAGGGTTAGTCACTTATGTATGTATAATGTATGTATGTACTATCAAAAATCGAAACGTAACAGATTAGAAAAAAGAAATAATAAAAGAAATAAATATGCTAATGATAAAAAAGAATATATTCTAGTTAAAAGAGAATATACGTATGTTGAGAAGTTCTAATGAGATTTGGACTGAAATAATTCCCTATAAAAAGGATTTAAAGGAAGCTTACAGAGGGAAAACTACTTGGTAATTAAGCTGCCTTAAACAGTAATAAGAGAGAAAAGATCGGCGACCATGAACATGAATGATGGAGATCAAGAGCCATCGGTTATAACAATTCTGATGCTTCATGATGATTTATTATTAAACTGCTTAGCCCGCGTCTCAAGAGCATACTATCCACCTCTCTCATTAGTCTGTAACAGATTTCGCTATCTCCTTGCTTCAAAAGAGCTGCACCAGACCCGAATCCTCTTAGGCTGCACCCAGAGTTGTCTCTACGTGTGCCTACGAGTCTCTATGGATTCTATGCTACTACGTTGGTTCATTCTCGGCCAGAGACACACTAGTTCCAGAAAGAGTTTTGTTCCAATATTATCTCCCGAATTGGCTCGTGCGGGTGTTGCAGTGGTTGGTCCTAATATATATGCCATTGGCGGTGGGATGAAGAATAAAACTTCGTCTAGCGTTATGGTCATGGACTCTCGTTCTCACAGATGGCGGGAAGCTCCAAGCATGCGGGTGGCTCGCATGTCCCCATCTGTTTGCACCCTTGATGAGAAAATATATGTGACGGGAGGCTGCGACAATCTCGATTCAACCAAGTGGATGGAGGTTTTTGATACGAATACCCAAACTTGGGAGTATTTACAGACCCCTAGCGAGGAGATATGCGGAGGCTCTAAGTTCGAAAGTGTAAGGTATGAAGGAACCGTCTATGTCTCGTCCGAGGCAAAGGATGCGACTTACAAGCTACATGAAGGTAGATGGAGTGCGTGTGCGGCAGACATGTTCGCGGATAGGTTTTGGAATTGGCCATTATCAAACTATTGTGAGATAGAGAATGTGTTTTACTGTTTTGGTGTCACCAAGATACGTTGGTATGACCCAAAAGAAAGAGTATGTAGAACTTTATTGGGTTTGGAAGGATTGCCAACCTTGCCTTGTGTTGGCCATGTTATATTGGCGAATTATGGTGGGAAACTGATGATTTTGTGGGAGGAATATGTATTTGCTGATGAGAAGAAAATGATTTGGTGTGCAGAAATTGCCATTGACAAACGCCACAATGGACAAATTTGGGGTACGGTAGAGTGGTTTGACAATGTGTTTACGTCCAATGGGCCGACAAGTCTCTTGGGTTTAGCGCATGCTCTTGCTCCTACGCTTTGTTGAATTGAACCATTCACCGATGCCCGATGCCATAAGTTTCATTTTCTTTTGCTTTTTCCTTTTTTTTTTTTTTTTTTTTTTAATATTCTTGTCAACCTATGTCATTTTGATTTGATTTTTTCCTTTTTGATATTCTTGTCAACCCGAGAGACCTTGGAGAATTATTTGTCTAAGATTATTGGTTTTGCAATTTATTTAGCAACCATGTAACAATCAAGTTCTTGTGGTAAGCCAGGCAAGCTGATTCACTTTAAATAAATCTAAGCATTCAAGTGAAACGTAAGAACCCCAAAAACTTGGACAGTTAAAAACTAAGAAGGGCTGTCATGTGAAAATCAAACATAGCTCTGTTATTACTATATATGAGGAAACAGAAAGCTCTAAAAGGAAGTATTTGGATATACCAAAGTAATGAATACCAACTTGCCTATGGCTGACTCTTAAACTCCAATAAACGCAAAGCCAATCAAGATTATTGCAGAGATGAAGATCAAAGACTTTTTGCATAGGCATGATCGTATATTTCGATTGAACTAATTTGGTTTGTGCTGGTGTTTGCATTTGTGTAATACTGTAATCTAACAAAGGCCACGGTGAGAGTAGAATTGTTTTGCTAGTTTCCACACACCAAAAACCATTTAACTGCCTAAAATTTTCCCACCATTTACGTGTGATACCAATGAACTCTAGCTTTAACAATGAGACAAACATAACTAGCACTTAAACACATTGTCAAACCAAGCATTGCATTTACATCCAAGAATAAAGCACAACCAACATAAAGTTGAAAGACAACAAAGAGGAAAAAGAGGAGAAGAATTGACCAAGCATTGCATTAACATTCAAGAATAAAGCAGGATACAATGTTCTGAATTAAGGCATGGTTCTGTACCAGCAAGAGCAGGAACACATAGAAAACCCCAAGAAACATGTTGACAACCAACACAGCTCATAGTTTGTTTCACCATACAGGAATTAACTAGTTCAAACAAAGTGTTGCCAATTGGGTACTTTTATTCTAGAACATGACTTGATTTTACTTCGTTTATGACTAAAGAAATGGACCTAAAATATCTTAGCCTACTGAATAGCTTGCTGGCTCATACACAAACATAACAGCAGCAGCAATTTGCCTTATACTTGGCCTACTCAATTCCCTAGCTACTTGCCCCTATTGCCTTAGTTCTTGCCAACAATGATGATGCCCATCAAACCAAAAGATAGAGTCTACAAAAGATTTGGGTAACAACTAATCGCCAAGATAAGACACGCAGAAGACTAAGGCAAGTCCTATTACCTTAAACCCTTGAAGAAGTCCTTATTGGACTTAGCCATTTGGACAGTAACTCAAATTTACCAAACTCTGCATCTAATAACTACCTTACTGAAACTTAGCACAAACCTAAAAGCAATTCATCATCCAGAATCTAAAGAGCCCGGCAATCTCAAATAGACACCTAAAACCGCTGATATAATTGAAACCCACCCCAACACACAGAACTAACCCCGTCGTTGAGTACAGAGGAATTTGACCCTCAGGTTTGTCGCCTAAGTGGTAACCATCTCAGAGATTATCAGGCGCCTGAGCGCGTTGGCCACCGAGCGTGTCTATCTCGCAGAGCCCAAAGCACGGACCTTTCTGATTCTTCTTTGCTATAAAAGTTACGCCATTGCTTCTTGTGCAAATTAATTTCTAAAAACACACACACGAAATAAAAATTGTCCAAAATGGAAGTTTTATTTTTTTTTTAATTAATTTTTCGGTCAAACACCCAACTGTTTTTATACATGTATAAAAAGAAAGAAGAACAAAAGGCCATTTAAAAATTTACAAAAAACCGGCGCCGGCGACGGCTATAAACCTTCTCTCTTCTTCATCAAACATTCACGGTAGTTGAGCCCAGAAAGGTGTAACCTTTGTCTTCAATCTTCACAAGAGCCTTCCAGATCTGATTCCCGAAAACTTGATCTCCGCGTATCTCAAATGAGATCTCCGTACACCATACTTCTTTTCTTCCCTCCGACAACCAGACATTCCAGAAAGCGAGCATATTACTTCCGTAGCGAATCGCCTGAAACGGCTGCCTTTCGAACTCGCCAAATCCCTGAACCATGCTCCATAACACAGTGGTTTTATCATACCGAATTATGTCACCTTTAATGATTCTGTAGATGTAGTTCCCTATTACGACGGTGAGACACCCATTCGCAGGACCACGACCTAAAGAACTATTCTTTTTCTCCCATACCCAAGTGGTCGAGTTAGAGATGAATCTCTTGGCTGGAACTTCTTCACCCGCCGAGATGGCCCAGACTTCAATTTCACTAGCATCGGTTGAATTGACGAGAATAACAGAGGATTTGTCGCCCAAATCAGGTTCCGGAAGAGACACCCATTGGCTCGTATTAGGCTTATAAACCTCAGGCCTTAGTTTACTTTCATCTTTGATTCCTCCAAGAACACAAAGATTCTCCCCAAACGTTAGTAAAAAAGCTTCATTGTCGCGGCCATGACTCATTGGCTCTGTTTGAGTCCATTGATTAGAAGAACAGTCAAGAACCCTCAGTCTCCTCGAACCAGTGTCTTCTGCGTCAAGCATGTAGATCGAATTCTCCAAGCCCACCATTACACTTGAACCTGAGTACGGATCGTCCATGGGAACCTCGGAAAGGCAGAATCTTGTGAATTCTGTAGCCGTTGATTCTGGCTTCTTGGATAATGAGGACCATCTCGGAACTTGATTCCGGTCCGAGGAACAATAATACACGAGATTTTCTCTCGATCTCACAATGGATCTTGCTGCGTAGAGTTCCGGCGAAGCTACGAGAGAAGCCAATGCTTTAGAAGTTAAACGAATAACACGGTACTGAATTATTGACACTCTAGCCAAAATTGAGATGATAAGTTCTTTAGGCAAGTCAGAAAATTTCTTCATTTCTTCTTGAAACATCCCAAGAACTGGGTAGAGCAAAAAAGAGAAGAAGAACACGAAGACAAGTGAAGAAGAAGACGAAAGAATGAAAATTTAGAATATATATAATAAGATGACAAGTGTGTGTTTTGCGGAATAAAATGTAGTTCGTGGGCTATATCAAATTAAGCAAAAAGTTTTGGGTTTTTATTGTTTTATCCACCCCTTTTCTTCTTCTTCTTCATTTTTTTCATATATATATATATATATATGTGTATATATTTTCTATTTTTCGTTACGCATTATAATTACTCCTAAATATTATAATACTTAAAAAAAAGAGGAAAATATGTGTTGTGTTTCCATGCCACGTATCATCTTATTTCAATCAACTACAAGTACCAAAAATGAAAAAACTACTGATGTGGGCTCTAAAAGCGTTTTTAATAATTGCATCCGATCCTCATATTTTCTTTACTTTGATTATTCATCCTCAAATTTATAAGCGATTGATTTTAAGTCCCAGCATCGTAATAATTGAGTAAATGGAGGGTAATATTGGGATTCGATGAAATATAGAGAACTGTCAGCGTCTGATTCTGATCGCCTCGACTCGTCTTCAAATCCATCTTCCAGTTCCATGGTTCATATTCGAGTTTGAGCGAAGCTTTTGTCCCTTATCTCTTTTTTAGAAGAAGAAGAAGAAGAAGAGGAGATCCTTCACTTTGTCTTCTCCGCCTTTAGATCAAACTCGTCTGAAGTCTTACAGGTTAATAATGCTCTTCTCCTTCTTTTGTTTAACGCCAAAAAAAAATCGATTTCTCTCTCTCCCTCTCTCTCTCCCGTGACTTTGAAGTGATCGGATCTTATGTTCTGATTCAATCGATTTAGCTACCAATGCTTGTATATTGAAATTCGAATTGCGTTGCTACAAGACATGATCTGTCGTCTTTATTTTTTTTTTATTGTTCTCGACATTTCAATGGATGCTTGTAGATCCTGTTTCTCGTTGATTGATTGTGACACGATGTTAACGAATTTTGTGTCAGATCTTTGGTTTTGGGTTGTCAAAATAAATCGAGCTATCTCTTACATGATTATGTTGGTTCTTGTAGGGATTTATACGGATCAGTTCAATTTCAAGTGGTGTTAAGTTTCTGAACCATCCATGGATCAGGCTGAACTGAGTATAGAGCAGGTTGGTGATATAATGTTATTTAACTGAATGATGACAAATTGAAACAGACCGTCATCATAGATCTTTGCAACTTTGATGTGTTTTTTTCCTTTTTTCTTTTCAGATTTTGTAATTTTCTGTTGTTATTATACTCTGCAGGTATTGAAAAGAGACATTCCATGGGAGACTTACATGAACACTAAGCTGGTTTCAGCAAAAGGTCTCCAGCTCTTAAGACGCTTTGATAAAAAACCTGAGAGTGCAAGGGCGCAGTTGCTGGATGAAGTAACTTTTCTACAACTCTTCTTTCTCCTTTCAAACAGTTTACATAGACTAGCCATGATCTGTCGTCACTTGAGTCACTTTCTCTCTGTTATTTACTGGTTAAAGTTGTATGTATAGTGACCATCCTACTAATTTCGTTTACATGATAAAGTGATATGTGTTGCCGTTATTTGCAGGATGGTCCAGCTTATGTTCATCTGTTTGTTAGCATCTTACGTGATATATTCAAGGAAGAAACAGTGGAATATGTTTTGGCTTTGATTTATGAAATGCTCTCAGGTATACAAAATTTTGAATATGTGTATTTATCTTCTCTTCATTTTTGTTACTGACTAATGTTAATGCTCTGTTTGCCAGCAAACCCAACACGGGCTCGATTATTCCATGATGAATCTTTGGCACAAGAGGATACTTATGAGCCTTTCTTGAGGTTAGTCCCTTTTGCAAAAAAATTACGACTGTAACTTGGCCCTGGCAAGTTTTTTTTTTTTTTTAATCAGGATAGAGTCGCTTATTGGAAAAAATATGTTGTTTCTGCTTTGACAAGGTCCAAAATTGCTTGTCTGTTCTATCGCTTGACCCTTTTCAGTTTATTATTTTATATACAATCTTCATGACAAACAGATAACATTTGCAAATCACCCTTGGATGGGAAACTGCTTTATTTACATTTTTTTCCTTTATTTTGACTGCTTTTATCTTCAAAAGTATGCAAGCTAAAAGATATGTCCTCTTTCAGGTTGCTTTGGAAGGGAAATTGGTTTATTCAAGAAAAAAGCTGCAAGATCCTTGCCTGGATCATAAGGTATTCAGTACTGTTTTTCATACTCTTATAAAAAAATGAATGTAACATACAATCTCATTGACTTGGCGGATCTTGCTCTGCTTTCAACATGTAGTGCTAGGCCAAAATCTGGTAGTGGTGCTATTGCTACTGGAGAAGCTTCGGGTTCAAAGAAACAAATTACTACAATTGATGATGTACTCAAGGGGTTGGTGGAATGGCTTTGTGCTCAGGTTTCTTCTTCTTCTTATCTCTTTCTCTCTTCCTCTTTATTTTCTTTCTAGTTTATGTTGGTTTTGAATTAGTGTTTAAGTCTTAGTCTTATAGACAATGCCATTGTTAGAACTGGAGCTCATTGGCATAGCATGCAAGTAGTGGGAAAAACGCAGTTAATGTTTTCTGTTTTTGTGGAAATAACCAATAATAATTTTACCCAGCCATGCCTTTGTTTTATTACACAAATCTAAACACTAACAAAAACCAAATTAGTTCATTCGAAAACAAAGAATTCCTTTGTGTGTGCAAACGTGTTTGAGTTTGATAAATAGATGCAAATTTGGGGATCTGGAGGGAAACTTTTATATTGTGACATAATGAATCCAGAATAGCTTTTGATGTCCACCATAGATATCACAATCCTTAATTTTGATATGCAGTTGAAGCAGCCTTCTCATCCTACTCGTGGTGTTCCAATTGCAATCAGCTGCCTCTCGTCACTGCTTAAGGAACCTGTTGTCAGGTCGTCGTTTGTTCAGGCAGATGGGGTGAAATTACTTGTCCCTTTAATTTCCCCAGCATCCACTCAGCAGTCAATCCAGGTAATCTAATGTAGTTTTCGGTGAAAAATGTCCACTAAAGCAGTAAAAAGTATTGGAGTTTCCAATTCATGCAAAGTCCTTAACAGAAAGGCAATGACTAAACAGACACTATTGGGAAAATAACTTCATTTAAAATGACTACTAAAGTCTATTGATTTATATATAGTTCCCTTATTCTGAAATGTGGGCTGAACAAATTAGTAAACTTTGAAATTGTTATGTTACAGTTTTAGAAGGAAGAAGCACCTCTCTCTTTTTTGTCATAATTTCTCAGTACCTAATTCATGTGATTTGTGTGCTTTCAACCGACAGCTTCTGTATGAAACATGTCTCTGCGTCTGGCTTCTGTCCTATTATGAACCTGCAATAGAGTACTTGGCAACATCGAGGACAATGCAAAGGCTCACGGAAGTAGTTAAGAGCTCGACAAAGGAAAAGGTGAGCTATGTTTTCTTTTGTGACTTGGTGATTACTCCTGTAATTAGGTGATCTATCAGAATCTCTGTCACACAATACCAAGATTTTTGTTTCTTTTATTTATTTTGAATCATTAATTTGCAAAAACTTGGTGTGATACACTTGTTATGTTTATCTGACGGTATTTTGTCTTATAGGTTGTCAGGGTGGTCATTTTGACATTCAGGAATCTGCTTCCAAAAGGTACATTTGGTGCTCAGATGGTTGATCTTGGACTCCCACATATCATCCACAGTCTAAAAACTCAAGCATGGAGTGATGAGGTAAGACAACTTAACTGCTTGTTAGCTGTTATGTGGAACCTGAATTTCTTAAATTTCTTTTAAATCTGGTGATAGAAGTGATGCTGGTAACATTAGATGTGTCTTAGTATATGGTGTTAGATAAACGTCTTAAATTCTGAATTTGTAAGGACTTGCTGGATGCACTGAACCAATTAGAAGAAGGGCTAAAAGACAAAATCAAGAAATTGAGTTCCTTTGATAAATATAAGCAAGAGGTGCTTCTTGGCCATCTTGACTGGAACCCAATGCACAAAGAGGCCAATTTCTGGCGGGAGAATGTCACAAGCTTTGAGGAGAACGACTTCCAGGTATTCTTCTTCTATTCCTCTCTCCTCAGCACCACACACTTGTAGTCCTTAGAGCGGGCTGGTTCAATCCTGTTTGGTCCTTCAAAACAACCCTAACCATTTGTTAAACTTGTGGATGCAGATACTCAGAGTCCTCCTCACAATCCTGGACACGTCAAGTGACCCCAGATCGTTGGCGGTGGCATGCTTTGATATCTCACAGTTCATACAGTACCATGCAGCAGGGAGAGTGATAGTAGCAGACCTCAAGGCAAAAGAACGAGTGATGAAGCTGATGAACCATGAAAACGCTGAGGTGACCAAGAATGCTCTCCTGTGCATTCAGAGGCTTCTCCTTGGTGCTAAGTACGCTAGCTTCTTGCAAGCTTGATGGGACTTCCATGTTTCTTTGAATATAATGGAATGCAACCAAAACACACATATTGTGTTTCCTTTTTCCCCCTGTCCAAAAACAAAACGTGAATCCAACTCCTGCATGCTTCTTTTCTTTCGATTCTACACATTCCAAGACCATCTGTTTATTATTTATCCTGGAGACTCTGCTATTTGTATGTCTAAATAATTTCCGGCTTTGTTTTCTTTTTGTTTTTAATTTATTTATTCAATAAAGAGAGCTTGAGGAAGAATGCTATTGTTGCAAGACATACACTTATGAGCTGGTTACTTTGTTGTATGATGTGAGAGTTTCAACTTAAATGAAGATGAGATTGCCTTTGATTTACAATGGCTGCATGTTTGGTTAGATTCATGGAATTTTTACAAGTGGTTATATTATTCGTTTGTTTCAGTCTAATTTTATTATCATGTGCTTCAGAATTACACGGTCTAGTTTTATTATCATGTCCTTCAGAATTACAAACATACGAATACATACACGCGAGCTTCCTTTTACAACTGAATTATAACATCTGCTTCATGGGTTCTGAGACCTTGTAAGTAAAAAAGCCAAAGAAGATGAACTGGATCACTTGATGAGAATGCATCTTGTCGGTGCTCCTTCCGCTCCAACCAATCTCAACGGTAAGCAATGAAGCGAGTATGTTCCTACCTCCACACCATCCAGCTTCAACGCTTCCACAGGGATTATATCCTGAAATCATGTGTGTATCTCACGTGTTAAGATGTTGTTTTGTCTCACTTTTACGCCTACCTATCTAGCAAACTACCACTCTCACTTTCTTGTCCAGTGAAATATAGCTATATGCAATCATATCCCATGGCTTTACATATCCAAACATCACAGAAGAATTGGCAAAGTTTAAGGTAAATACTTTTTTTTTTTACACAGAAAAATATACTGACCCGTCCTTTAAGTATAACCCTGTGCGTTGCAGGTGATTCCTCAAAAGCAGCAAAGGAAAGATAGTCAAGCCCTGAGTTCCAGAATGCAGAAACAATCGGTTTCAGAAATTGTAATACAAGCTAAGAAACACAATGAACATAAGAAAAGCTAAGAAACCGAAATTTTTCCATCTCTTACCAATAAGTTTGATATCTGTGTTCTCAACCAACCATTTCGCCCCATCGGTCATGAACCCAGCAAAGCTTGAATCAAACTCTTTCTGGAACATAAGCCGCCTGATATTTCAACCACAGAGAAACCAGAGTGAGTAAAGCTTTTGCTCTCTTAGGTAACAACACACACTCTTAAAACAATACATATTGAGACTGTTACTTACTTGTCAGTGTTGGATGTTCTAAAGAGCACACGACGAACTCCTCTTTGAATATGAAGCGATTCCATTACCTCAGCTAATAATAGTAATCCAAACCCAAAACAAAACATAAGACAAAGATCCCTAATTTCAAATCAACCAATTCGTTACAAGTTGAACAACTCACCAGTAATGTTCTTGTCTCTTGGAACATCAACCAAAAGAGCAGGACCTATATAGAAATCACACAAAAACCCAATTTCAAAACTTTGGATCACTACTAGACCCAACAAAAGAAAAATCAAAGGAACCAGATTTACATAAGTACCGTTAAGGACTTGGAGGTCGAGCGAATCGGTATCAAAACCAGCGTCGTAATAATTGTCCCAGAAGTGACCTGGAGCATCAACGTGAGTTCCCGAGTGGACAGATAGTTTCATCTCCGACACGTTGGCGAAGGATCCATTCTTCATACTCGCGGCTAATCTCAGGAACGTCTTTCCCAATCCTTCCGTAGATGTCCAAGCTGGCATCTCCGCCGTGTACCGGTGGCTGATGTCGTATATCTTACCTCCTTCATAAATCTCTCGGCGGAGTGGTTTGGGATCATCGGAGCGGGCGACGCCGAAGAGAGAAGAAGAGAGATAGAGTGCAACGACGAGGATGAGGAGAGGGGAATTCACGGAGCGGGTCATTGTTTCGGGTCGCGGGTTAACGGGTTCAACTCAACTCAATCAAGCTCTGAGCTTTATATAATAAGGAAGATAGAGTGAAAGACTCCTTTGACTTTTCAGTTTGGCCAAACCGTCGATATTGACCTATTAATACAAATTCTTCAACTTTGATATATATATATATTTCATTTGCTTGGTTTTAAACTATCCACGTTTGCTATTCGGATAAGAAAACTGAAACATTTATTGGACATGTTGATGATACAGTATATAATGAATGCAAGACCAAGACATATGTACAGGTCATTTTGTGCAGATACTAGTCTCTCTTACTTTGGTTCTCAAAGTCTTTAAAGTTTTATTTTGCCTTCTCTTTTATTTCTCCAATGTGTCTGATGACTTCTTACTTATGTGATTACATAAACACAGAACAACAGAACAAACACTCTTTAACAAGATGCACAACTTCTTGCAATACTTGATACTAACATCAAATAAGACACTGGTGTGTGTGGTGGTTTGCGTATTGGCCATTCGGGTTGAAAAGTGAGCATCATCAATGTCCTGGACTTGTAATGTTTTCATTGGAGTCATTTCGTAAAAAAAAAATGTTATTATCATACAAAATGTTTTCATTAAATTCTATGTGGTAATAACAATACATGTATAGACACAATCATGATTCATATAAAAACTAAAAATGCAAGATATCTCAACCGAATGAATGTAGAAGTTGAGTGATATATATATGATACAAGAATCTTAGTACAACAATATGGTCTACGGTGGCATCACAAACCACATAGATTAGTTTTTAGAAGAAGATTGGAAGATGAAAACCGCAGTTAGAACACCAACCAATGCTGTAACAGCCAAAGCAACCGTAGGCAATGGACTTGCTACTCCAAAATTCTGACAAAAACATACAAAATCAAATCTTGAGTTATTATTATGGTTTTCTTAGCATTTCTCAATGTTTCATTTCTTGTTTTCACAAAGCAAAAACCTTTACCTCAAGAAGTCCTTTGCCAGTGGTAACCTCAACAGTAAGGGCAACTGCAAAACCAATCATGGCGCCACGACCAAGCCATATGTCCAAACCGCTGCTTCCTTCTGTACTTTGCTCACTTCTAATGGAAACTGATGCTGCTCTGTTTCCAGTTCCACCTCTACGAGTCATACTCAACTTCAATGGCACTGAAACGGACACACAGACAAAACAGGCAAAATCAAAACGAAAGATATAAAAGTTCCATATCTTTTTTCGCGGAGGATGATTTACTCAGCTAACCAAGGCAATGCACAAAGCAAATCATAAATATTAGAAAACGTTATGACAACTAGAAATTTCCCCCCAAAATCAAATCGCAGAGAACCACAAACCATTATGTGAACAGAAACCCCAATTATTCAGTATAACGCTTAAAAAATTTGAGAGAATAGGAGAAAATTGCAGTAAGGCCAAAGGAAAACGTACAGAGAGGAGAACCAGAAGCGAAGGTGGATCTGCTTCCAGCAAGTTGCGGAACATGAACCCGACAAGTAGAGCTTGGGTTTGTCATTGTCGCTACCTTTATGGCGCCAGAATCTGGTTAGGTTAAAAAAGAAAATCAGAAATTGGTCAGATAACATATACTACAAGAGAGGAACAAGGAAGGGTAGCGAAGAGAGAAAGAGAGAGTTTACTACTGGGAAGAGAGAAGGCGAGAGACGCTGAGACTTGAGATAAGGCCATCTTCTTTCTATCTAGATTTTCACAACACTCTTTTCTTCTACTGATCCTTCTTCGTCTTCCTCTCTCTCAAGAGTCTCAGAATTATCTGTTCAAGCTGGGGACACGTGTTTTCTCTCCACTCATTAAGTTCGTATCTTGTTTCACCTTTTCGACCTACACAGTTGTGCAAAACGGCGGCGTTTCACAGACTAATGCATCTCTTAGAGCAAAACCGAACTATACCAAACCGAAATTTCAAAAATTGATTGGTTTAGTTAACATATTCCCCCCGCTACATTGGGTGGTCCAGTCAATTATATAGTAAACCGAACTTTGACCCAAGCGTAATATTACTTTTAATTTTAAGTTACTGTTTTTGCAAATTATCGAGGCACCTACCTCTAATATCAGCAGGACAACAAATATTCAGAGAAGAAATAAGCAAACACTCAAATAATAGAAACCATAATAAAGTTGAAAACATGAAAGAGACACTACTCTCAACGTTACCAAAACTGTAGAAAGCCAAAATATAACATTATTGCCTAAACCCAACAAACAACTCCAAATCTTCACCCGTGAGATTTTAAGATATTCAAGATTCAAGAATCAACAACACCAAACAAACTAGAGCTTGAGGAAAACGAACTCCTCAACCGCAGGAATTTCCCCAATCTTCTTGAGTGTATCCTTGCTTGGTTGGTCGTCTACTCCAATTGCCATAATTGCTTGCTTCCTCGGTGCGATTCTCCCAACGCTCATGAAGTTTACGTTGACGTTTGACTCTCCAAGGATGCTTCCCACTGTCCCGATCATACCCGGTTGATCCACCTGCCTGCACAGTATGATACTACCTTCAAGTGTCACATCTACCTCAAAAGATCCCACCTTTGTCAAATGCGGCACTCCGTCTTTAACCCTTCCTTCCACTTTCACCTCTCCTGATTCAGATAATGAACTGGCGAATTTGGACTCCACATTGCCTAGCTGAACAGTTATTGTCTCCAACGGGCTCTCTGGTGAACCATCCAAGAGAACACGTTCCTCTGAGAGTCTGAGACCTCTCTGCTTGGCTGTGAAATCAGCGTTGACCAAGTTGACATATACGTCAGAGATTGGCTCGATGATTCCCTTGGTTATCATGGCTCGTAGAAGTCTGGTGTCAAGATCATCAGTAGCTCGTGCTGAGGCGTATGTGATTTTTACGTTTTTCACACCGCTTCCTCCAGCCACCAATTGCACTGCCAGTCTTCCTAGTTTCTCGGCTAGAACCACATATGGTTTCAGCTCGGTTAGAACCTGTGGATAGAGTGTGATGTAAGCTTATATTCCAACTGGAATCTGATAAGAACAAAGCTATAAACCTGCTAGTCTTGATCCAATTCACAAATCACTGAGGAGAAGCTTGATTAATGAGGCCCTTAAAACAAATCACTAGAAAACCCACCCTCACTTCAACAATTTTGCCGCTCACTAACTTCTCTCTAACCAACTCAGAACATATATAATTTGCTACATTCATTCCTAGGCTAGCTACTCTAGAACTACAGAAAATAGGCTGCCTCTTTGGAACAACACCAAAATGTATATAATTTACTAGCACAAGCCAAAGCTCACCTCAGCAGACACCATAGGTGCATTGACTGCAGTAGCAGCAAGCTCTCCATTCAGAGCTCCAACAACAGCTTCAGCAATTTCGATGGCAACTCCTTCCTGTCAAAGCCAAAACAACAACTAAATAACAGAAGCCAAGCAGCATATTCATGATTAAATATCACCTGAACTGTAACATGAATTGCACACCTGAGCCTCCATGGTACTGGCTCCAAGATGAGGTGTCACAGTTACCCTCTCGTGTTGCACGAGCTTGCTGTCTTTAGACGGTGGCTCTTTTGTGAAAACATCAAGTGCAGCCTGAGCAACAATGCCAGAATCCAGAGCTCTCACTAATGCATCTTCGTCAATGACACCTCCACGAGCAACATTGACGATGCGAACTCCCTTCTTCATTTTGGCAAAGGTTTCATCGTTTAGTATCTTCGATGTTGTTGGCGTAAGAGGCATGTGAAGAGAAATGAAGTCAGCGGTGGCAAGTGCTTCATCGAAGCTCACTAAATCAACTCCAATGGCGTGTGCACGATCTGCTGGGGCATAGGGATCATGAGCAATGACACGCATACCAAGACCCTTGGCACGTCGAGCAACTTCAGTCCCAACTTTCCCGAATCCCAACACCGCAAGGGTCTTGCCCACAAGGGAAACACCCACGTACTTGCTCCTCTTCCACTCTCCTACAATACAAAGATATTATTAAAACCAAGATCCTTGAGAAAAGGAAAGAGAGACATTCACTCCACACACAAGAAAGAATCATCAAAACTCAATTTGAAAAGAAACAGCCAAAAGCTTAACCAAATGTCACAATCCTATAACATCGTCAACAGTCAGGAAAAGGAAAGCTGGTGATATAAATTTGTAGAGTTGAGAAGCCATCAATCACAGGTACAAAAGAACAAAATCAATAACTGTTTAGCTAAGTATGGAAAGTATGAAACAGAGTAAATGAATCAAAAATTACAAACCAGCCTTAACAGACGCATCAGATTGTGCAACGTTCCTAGCCATGGCGGCCATAAGAGCGATTCCGTGCTCAGCAGCAGCGATCGTGTTGGCCGTCGGCGCGTTGACAACCAAACACCCAAACTCCGTGGCTGCACTCAGATCCACGTTGTCGATCCCAACACCAGCGCGTCCAACAACCTTTAACCGTCCGCGAGAGGATTCGAAGACCTCACGGCCAACCTTAGTGCCACTCCGCACGATCAACGCATCACAGAGCGAGATCTTAGTGTTGAGCTCCTCGGGGGTCATGTTATACGAACAGTCAACATTCGCGAAATCCTCCAAGAGCTTTACACCAGCCTCACCGAGCTTCTCAGCAACAAGGATGGTAGGCTTAGATCCATCTGCAGCGGTGCACGAAACGAGAACGAGCCGCCGGTGAAGAGTATTGCGTCCGCGGTTAGGGAAAGCGACGGAGATCGCGGAAGGCAGAGGCGATCTGGAGGAGAGAGACACGTTCTTGAGAGAATTGGTGGCGACGGAGATCGAGGAAGAAGCGGTGGCGGCGGACATTGCTACCGCTTGAGGAGAGTAGTGGAGAGTGAGGTAGAGAGGAAAAGAGTTGGTGGCTGAGTTATATAACACACGAGGGGGAGAGAGAGAGAGATCTAAAAGGTTTATATATAAATCGGCTCAGGGATTTGGTGTAATTGTGATACACACTGATATATACGTGAAGAAGGCGATGTAAATCACACGCGCTTTTGTTACGCGAGTGTGATTCACTCTGGGTGTTGTTTGATGTCCCAAATGTTCCGGCCAATAGAATTGCATCTCTTGCCGCAAAAATAGCCGAAAAAGAAAACATAATACAATTTGAGAAAGGGTGACCAAAAAAAAAAATATATACAAATTGAGAAAGAAATTCGATGAATAGTCAACTTTTTTTTTTTTATTACACAAATCTCAAATTTATCTCTGACCAAGAAAAACAAAATCTTAAAACTTACGATCAAATCGAATCAACCCGGAAAATGTTATTATAATTTACTGCTTTCGAAGATTTTTGGCAATGCAAATAGAGATCTTGAAAACATTTCTTCAACATTATAAAGATTTCTTCAACATTTCTTTTTGATCAAGATTTTTTAACATTTTTTAAAAAAGATTTGTTAACATTTAAGCCCAAGAAACAATACCAAAAAAAACTTGTTAATAAGTTACATGGTTATATAAAAAAAAATTACATGGTTATCTGCTACATAAGATCATATGTCATCTTTTTAATAAAACTGACGACAGTAATTTTGGTAAGAAGTTCTGAAAGGATTTCAAAATGAAGCATGCATTTTGGTGTACATACTTATGAAAGAACATTTACAGGAAGAGTGTCCATGCTCTACAAAAAGGGTCCCCACTAGTACGCACTACATAGAGAGAGAGCCGCACTTGTTTATTACTAGTATTTGAAAAGTATATATTTAGGACTTCAAATTTGAATTGGATTTGGACTTGTATTGTAGAAAATTCTCCAGTTTAGTTTTCAGGGCAAGTGGTTCGTTTGTGTCAGCTTACACACATGTACATACAAACACTTTAATACTAGTACAATTTTGGTTTATGTAATTATGTTATGTGTTTTGTTGGTGGTGGTCAAAATTTACAGTAGTATTAAGATCTTTTACTTGCGGGGAATATTATAAAGGATATACTACTGAATACTGAATACTGATGGCTGTGACGTAAGTCTAATTTTAATTGCACGTGAAAGATTTGCGTTTTGTGTGTTTGCAACTGCTTAAATATATGCATTTTTTTAATTTTTTATTTTGGTAGGTCGACCTGTCCACAACTCTTTTAACGTATTCATTCAACGCAGCGGCGCGTCATCATCTACTGTTGAATTTTCTTATGCTATACATGTTGTAGTTACTAGTATTAAGTTATTAACTCCTAATTAGCATTTAGGTTTTTAGGCTTTTCTTCAATGAAGACGAATCATTGTTTATTTTCATATACAGTATGTTCAGCTTTACAATAATTCTTTCCTCCTACAAGTAATTCTATCCTATACTATGTTTTCAAATATCTCGAAAAATATTCAAAAAGTTATGTATGACACAGCACAGCACTACTCGGGACTTTTGAGTGATGAAACCAGAAACTTGTCTAGTTCCTCATGTAGATAATGTGACAAACGATACAAATATTATGTGTGCTCTGTTTACATAGATAACAAATTTACGTTAAATCAGTCACAATCACTTATAAACGGCATATCCCCCTATTGGAAGATGTAGTAGATAAAACATTAACACAGCTTCAGTTTATCGATCTCACTTCTGCTAGAACACTGGAAAAGACCGCGACTTCTCACCGAGTACCCAATCTCAGACCTCAGATAACCTGACAAATAAAAGAAATACAAATTTCAATTCACGCGCACATCATCTTTTTGCATCGTTGCCCCGCAAAACTCTAATCTCAAATATCATCAGAAAATGGCATATGTAGGCTCCATGTACATTTTAAGCTTCTGTATCTAGTGTATGGAATACACCCTATTGTATAATGGAGTGCAAAGAAATCATCATTCATTACTTGGATGATCCTAGAGTTATAATGACCAAAGGACTAAACACGGAGCTGTTAAAAGATTCTTACCATGGATTTCAGAAACCTGGCCAGTCTCTAGAACAAACTATTTGTTCTTGACTTTGCACATAATGAGTACCATTCCATTCTCACAGAGTAGTCTTATGATATCCATATAACATGTCAACTACGAAACATATGGACAGACTACAGAGTCACGAAGCTTAACACAAAACTTACTTTTGATTGTCTAGCAGAAGTTGGAAAGGTAAGCTTGTGCTAAGGAGAGACCAAGCTGGACTTGAGCCTCAGTGGTTAAGTGAAGATTGTCGGGCTTTAGCGACAATCCCTTGGCATCTACACAGACCACGTTCGAAAGTTTCAAACCCAACTGTGCTTCTCTCACTTTGTCTATGTATCCCCCTCCCGATGCTATTGCCACCTGCTTCAATCAAACCACCAAGATTAGCCAATGGAAAGCCGATCTATCAATGAGAGAACATTACTTGCACTTTGTTAAAAGGAATCTGTTTTCATCACCAAAGCTCCCAAGTTCCGACCTTTCTAACAGTTACATAATTTAGCTCTTCCACCATTAAAACTACTGATATATAGGTGAAACTGAGCTAAAACGAAGAAGACTACTTGTAGGAGCTGTAAGATCACAAACTTCTTGTTGAAACAAAGGCAGAGACAATTACATTTTTTAATGAAGAAACTAAAAACAAAGTCTACATAGTTCTTTATAGTCTACAGACAGAGATGGTTCAATAAAAAAATGCATTAGTCTGAATTCAAAAATACGATCAAGGTAGATAAACTCTTTAGAATTCGTTGATGGAGAGAGACCTGAATAATGGGAAGAGAAGGGAGGTTGAGATCATGACGAAGGTTCTTAATCAAAGCGTCCATATTGCTCCCGTAGCTCTCGGCGTCATGGATGTTCGACACGTCACTCTCACCTTGATACCAAAGCACCGCCTTGATCTCTCCGCCGCATTTCATTCTCTCCTCCGTCCTCTTAACCATCCTCTCGTACAAGTGACTCCCACGCGCCCACTCTTTTATCGCCGTTCCACCTGAGGCGCACGGAACCAATCCGATCACTGCAGAATCTGTCTCCAGGTGCTTCCTCACCGCGTTCGCGAACGCCATCCCCGGACCTACTCCGCACACTTTACCGGTGTCGATGTCAGCGTGGAGTGGCTCGTGCGCTTCTTCCCACCGGAGATCTGCGCTCAGGCGGAGAATTGATGACTCTGCTGCACATTCCGATGGGAGGATTTTATCCCATACCCAGCGGTTGTGGTGGTGGTCTTTGACCACGCCGCCGCGTCCGGCCATATTGCTTTGACCGGAGAGAATAAAGATCTGATTTGGCGTAACTGGAGATTTGATCTCCGATTTATCTTCGCCGGAAGTGGTAGATCCTCCTTCCATATTTTGGTATCAGGAAAAAAAAAAAGTACAATGTATTTGGTAGAGAGATTCTTAATCGAGAGTTATTAAAAAAATGCTCATCTCCAATGGCATTGATCACACAATATAGATTAATAGATATTAGCTGAATTGAAGTGTCTAGGCTCAGAAGAAAAGGTTTGGTATGACAGCAGCAGAGCCGATCGGAGACAAGAAGAAGATGATGATGAGGCGTGGACTTTAGATTGAAACTTGTTTCGGTTTGTCGGTGTATCCGTTAATGTTGGTTTAATTGGTTTTATCTGCTATGAGACTATCTATAGTTGCGATTTATTATATTTATTTTAGGTTAAGTGGAACCAGATACAAAAAGAGTTAGTATACTATTACACAGCTTATGCTTTAAGCGATAATAAAGTAAGCAACAAATCTAAAACACACATAAACAAATCCACTTTCTATATTGCAGTACTCGTCAAGAATGACGAAACCAATCTAAAGGCTCACTTTCTCCAACACTTGCACCACTTCTTTCATGGACGGTCGCTTATGAGCCAAGGAAGAGACACATTCAATCCCTAACCTAAAGCATACGCCTGCAGCATCCTCGTGGCGAGACACATCGCTCCTAATCGGACCGTCAATCAACCTCAAGAACCGGCCTTTCTCTTCCGCTTCAGAACCGGATAAGTTTAAGAACTGATCTATATCCTGATCCACCGAGAACACTTTGCCTGTGAGAAGTTCTAAGAGTATGACGCCGAATGAATAAACGTCCCACTTAGGGTTTGGTTTCTGGCTCGTTGACCATTCCGGTGGCTGGTACGGTGTGCTCGAAGTTGGTCCAGTGATTTGAGATTCACGCGCCAGTGTCATGAGGCGGTCTAGCCCCAGATCGGTGATGAGGGGCTCATTCTCAGCGTTCAAGAGAATGTTATTGGGCTTGATGTTACCATGCACGTGTTTCTTCTCGCTGATGTAAAACAGTCCTCGAGCCATTCCTCTTGCTATCTTGAGACGTGCCTCGAAACTAAGAGGGTTTTGTAATGACGAAGACGACGAGCTTGAGTTTGTCTTACCTGTGTGTCAAGGAACAAAACGAGTGTTAAAAGCAATTAATGAACGCTACTAAACTGTGCCAAGTGACAGGCGTATCTTAGAGGAGATAGTGTGGTTTTTGAATTTGTGCGCCTAAATAAACGGAGGAACTTACTGGCGGTGAAGAAACAGAGGAGGCTGCCATTGGGAACGTAGTCGGAGATTAGAAGCTTCTCGTCGTCTCCCCAGCAGAACCCACGAATTCTGACGAGATTTGGGTGTCGAAGCTTAGCAATGGCACGAACCTCCCGCTCGAATTCCTTGAGTTTCGACGCCACACAGTTCTCTGTCTCGATTCGCCTCACCGCGAATGCTGTGCCGTTCTCCAGCACCGCCTTATACACGATTCCAGTTCCGGTAGTTCCCAATATGTAAGCAGATGCCTTAAGTAGAGTGTCTAGATCTAGCCGAGTTTCGCCGTCGACTGTAACTAGTTTAGTTTGAGCACTCTGTTTTAGTGACCCACCATCTGTTCGACCAAATGCTTTAACGGTTTGCTGATTCTCGACGTCGCTCTCTGATGTAGATGTCTCGTCGTACCCTCCTCCGGTCAATGTAATGCACGAACCACATGCCGCTTTTGCATCTGGTGATTCTGTGACTGTGACATCTCCGGTGCTTTGCGTTTGGTGATTAGATTTTTTCGCTTCGTTTTTCTCCAGACAGAATTTGAAGAAGCTGAATCTGCTGGATCCTGGGTAACTTCTGCGTTTTCTGACCTGGTATACATAGAGCACAAGTAGACCAATGAGAGCTAGACCAGCTATATCTGCAACTGTGATGACGGCAATGGTGCTTGGCTTTAGCTTGCTTTTTGCTGTCTGGTTTGGTGATTCTGTTAAAGGGTCTATTGGAGGTGGGCTTCTGGGCTTAACTGCTATTGCCGGTGAAGTAGTTTCAGATATATTTGGAGGATTGGAAAGAGAAGAAGGGATTGAGCAAAGAGTTTTCAATGGCTTCCCACATAACTCTTGGTTACCAGCAAAAGACTCGGCCTTTTGGTTAAGTAAAGACAGGGAACTAGGGATTGGGCCTGTGAGGTTGTTAAAGGAGAGATCGACGGTGGCATTTGCTGGAAACTTCTCAGCAAAACCTGGAGACATCTCGCCCAAGACTTTGTTGTGTGATAAGTTCAAGTAATGCATGTTTTTTCCTCCCAAAATCTTGGGAAGAGAGCCGTTTAGAAGATTTGAAGAAAGATCAAGAACCTGTGCAGCTTCGAAACCACTTGGAATATCACCTGAAAAGGAGTTCTTTGTCAAGGAAATGACCGTTAGATTCTTCAGAAGCGAGAGGCTGTGCGGAATTTCCCCAGTAAATGCGTTAGCTGAGAGATTCAAGAGCTGAAGATTAATCACACTGTTGACACTCTCGGGCAAATCACCAGAGAGATTGTTGCTTCCGAGGGAGATAGTCTGAAGCTCGGTGGCGTTGAAGACCGCGTCAGGGAGTGACCCGTTGAAGAAATTAGTGGACAGATCCAAGATCCGTAGATGCGGCATAGAGAATAAGTCCGGAGTGACGGAACCCAAAAGATGTTTGTTTGAAAGTACCAAGCTTGTAACTCTGAGCGTGTCTGGAGTGTTAGGCTTCCCAAGCTCTGCACAGGTGACACCTGTCCACAAGCATGGTGTTGCATCTTCATAGTTCCAGTTGCGTAGAACGAAGAGAGGGTCACTGAGGATGGAATATTTGAAATTAAGCAGAAGAACACCATCAGTATTAAGAGCTTGGAGTAGTGTGGGGACAAGAAGGAGGTGGAAGAGGACTAATGTGAGCAGGAGGTTGCTTCTGTTGAAAGTCATGATGTTTCAGTTCTTGATAAGTTGGTACTCCCCTCTCAAACGATTACATATGGATAGACATATTCGTAGCAGAGAGAGAACGAGAGAGGTTGAACCACTCAAGTGATAAGTTGTTCTGGTCACCAAATCTGCGAGATAATGGAGTAATCTCTGAGATGGTGAAGGGAAGAGAGAGGGAGAGAGAGAGAGAGAGAGAGAGAATCTTATTAATGAGCCGGAGTTGATGAAAGAAGCTTTTGACTAGACTTGACATGGGACAAGGTGTAGAATCAATGATTCGGAATCACTATTTATCAGTGTAAAACTGTAAATAAGCAGCTGCCTTTTAACCAAAATAAAAAAAACAGAAGAGAAGAAAAGCAAAATACATGGGAGACAACATTATTATGATTACCGTTTGCTTTTGGGTTTTCTATCATTTACCCATCAGAAAATTCTAGTAAACAGTCGAGGAGGGCTTCCAGTATAATAAAGTGATTCGTTTTGATAAAATCATATTCAGTGTTAATCTTTTAGGAAATTAGGTCTTACTAAAAAAAGGTTTAAAAGGACAATCACCGACCATTAATATATGAATGATTATAACTTTAAATTTAATTAGTACGGTTTTGTTATCTTAAAAAGAGAAGATCCTGTAATATATATAGGGTTTGCCAAAACAGAGGGGTTCGTATGAAATGAACTATACATTAATCAAAAGACAAAACAAGGGACACCACCAAACTGACATGTCAGAGCATCAGCATTGGTGTAATACCAATCTTGGTCCCTCAATTTTTTTTATAATATTTAGATCATAGGACATTTTAAAATTTTGAGTGTAGGAGCATTGGTGTCTCATGTTATTTGTCCTTCTATTAAATTAATAATATTTTAAAATTTTAAAATTAATTTTTATAATTATATAAAAACATGGAAATAAAACATGGATCATCCCATTCATTGAATTTTACTATTACAAAGTTTATAAAGTTGAAAAAACAGAAAACATACAATAATTGACATTATTAATATAAAAAACATCAAGCATACAAATATTAAAATTAACAACATTGAATTCAGAACTTTAAAACTTAATTAGCAGGAACTTTAAAACTGTATTCACCTGTTGATGAATATGTTCTATTAACTACCCAATAACGCATGTCAAAGATGCCAAGATGAGAACAAGCTGTCACCTAGAGATCATACCTTGCTTATAAACAATGGTTCTACTTTCTGAGGGCTTGAACCATCGAGGTTGAAGCAATCACTCCAACTCTTCCACTGAAACAAGACCAATAGGATTCCCACCAATAATTTCAGTTCGTTCTTGTTAAAGCATATGGTCGAGCTCTTCCAACAACTTGTGTACCTGAGATCATTGAAATCTCAAATTTCAACATAAACCAGTTTCTTACAGTCTTTCCATACTCTCTCATCTATGACTCTATGTGTGAAACAGACATATACTTGTATCATCTTAGGACACTGAAAGAACAAGTTACCTGAGAAACAAAGTAATCCAATGCAATACTCTGCCCAAGCACAGTCCCAATTATACGGATGCTATCAGTATCTAAAGTTCTGAGAACAATGTAGTCAGGGCTACCTTTGAATTCCTCAGTCAACAAAGGCTCCTCCTTCACAGCATAATCTAACACAATAAAATCCACAAAATGACTAGAAGCATATAAGTGAAGCCATTTAGTCTTATGCATAAACTGATAAAAGGATACGAAACACAAGCAGCATCCATTGATAGCCTCAGCTGCAATGAAACCAATGATAGTGACAATGCAATACGTTTGAAAAACCAATGATAGTGACAATGCAATACGATTGAGAATCGTATAACAAAAACGAACACAAACCTAATCGATTGAAAAACCTTTAAGAAATACGTTTTGCAGAGATAATCGATTGAAAAATTCCATAACCTCTATGAACCCTAATCGATTTTGTTAACCCTACCAATCGTTCATAAAAACCCCAACAACCATAGATAATCAATAGATTAACCTCTTCAAACTAAAATCCCCAATTATCTAACCTAAAACTCAAATCGGATTTGGATTTGGAAGACCTACCTTCCAAAGTGATCCAATTTTCGTTCGCCGTCTTCAAAGATCTTCCTCTGCCTACGGCGAAGCTTTCTACCGAAGAGATGACGTCGATTCTGAAGTTTCCTCGTCGGAAAATCGTCAGGCACACCAATCACCTCTGGAATCGCCTCTTCGCAGCCGAAGTCGAGAGAAAGAGAGAGAAAGAGAATGTGAAAAGAAACCAAAGACCCCCAAAAAAAATTTCTTCCCTTGAGCACTCATCCAATCACCCGTTGCCATCTGGCAAGAGGGACGAGTCGATTTTGTCCCATTTTTAAGAACGTATACTCACATAAATCGTATTATTGATTTATTTTTTTACAAAAAAATTAATGGGACGAAGCGTGTATACGCTAATGCGGATGCTCTCAGTTTACCTCACCTTTATCTTGTATATATAACTAATGATTAAAAATAAAAAACCTTACAAGTTTGATTTTTGTGTAAAATGTTCACACATCTAAAAAATTCGCACACTCAGATTTTCGGAAAAGTTAAAAAAATATTCTTTAGTCAAGAAATTATTCCTTGGTCTACCAAAGAAAATTATTTAGACACATAAACAAATAATAGAAGTTACAGTTTAAAGTAAAAAAATAAAATAAAAAAGTAAGTATATAGGAGAAAGGAAAAAAAAAGACATGAAAGCGACGAGAGCTATGGCCGCATAGCTTTCAGTGTATCCCGTGGACGAATATAAAACATAAAACAAAGATCGAGTGGTCCAATATTATTTGGTTTTGCGTGAGATTCATATAAGAATGAGAATAATTGAAGCGAAATTAACTACATTCTTGTCCAAGATAGAAGCGGCCAAAACATAAATCAAGGCAAAATTGTGAATAAGCCTATAGACTATAGAGATAGGGTTTAGATCGATGGACATGGATCTCTCGACTGCTAATTAAAACACAATGACAATGGTATAGTTTATTGATTAAGAATTTAAGATGATGTCTTGCACAAATGTAGATGAAACATGTTAAAACCTAAAGAAATCAGAGTTTAATAATCATCAAAGAAAGCCTCAACGGTGATACAGCATAAAGTCCAAAAATATCAAGCGTAAAGCATACAATACGATATTGATAATAATTATCATTATCATGCATGTTGGAAGTTACAAGTAACATGATAGGCACAATTGTTCTTCTTGCTGGCATTTTCTAATAGTTATAAGTAAAGAAATATTCATGAGTGTTATATAAAATACATAATTCGTGTAATCGTCTTTAGAGAAAGTTTAAAACGTTGTGATCATTAGAGATATCACATGTGGGATTATAATAAGGGACCTATGGATATGATGGGGATTAAACCTAGTCCCCTTTTAAAAACACACACAAGATAAGATTTTTGGACTTAAGTAGTATATTCATCTGGCTTGGTCTTTAGACATGACGATCACGGGTTCATGTCGTTTACTCATTTTTGTTTTAGCTTTCTTGTTTTTTTTGGGGTTATAATGTTGTTTTTTTCCCTCATACCCTAGTGCAAATGTTTCATCTATCACATACTATTTGGGTTTCGAATTGCAATACTAGGGATGGTTAAGAAAGTCGAAAGTAAAATAAAACTCAGTTCTTGTTTGGACCTATTTCGTAAAACTGAATAATTCAAACCTAAAAAAAAAAAGAAAAAAAAAAACCAACATAATTAAACTAAAAACCGAAGATCTAAACCTAATACTGTACTAGTGATCTTTGTTGTACTTTTCCCCAATAAAATCTGAAAAATCAGCATATAATTCAACTGAAAAAACAACACATAAACCTAGCCGTTTTCTCAAGCTTGTCTTTTCAGTGTAAAAAATCCAAAATTATTTTTAATGAAATTATTTTGAGTCGTATAAAATAAGAAAAACCCTAAACAAGATTCACATCTCCATTCAATGCCATTGTCGGAGGCTGGTAGCCAATAATGCTGGAGGCCTATGGCCGATCTGATCTGATACCCCTTGAAGATAATGTTATCTTTTATTGTAGACAATGAATTAACTTTTACAAAAATAATTATCTTTCAAGATTGACTATAACGATAGCTCGATAGACATTAAAAAATTGTACTAAACACTTTTTGTCCTTGTGTTTCCACTATCTTTTCACTGGTTTCTCACATTGCATTCTAGGGGAGGAGGTAATGACCAAGACATGGGTCAATATTGATCCTGATGAAATTTCAAAATTAGTTAATTTTTGCTTAAAATTATCAAATTGACCCTTACTTGATTATAAAATTGATCTCTATACAATTTGGTGTTAACATTTTGACCCCATAAAATGTAAATTCTAGCTCCGCCACTGTAATGCATTCTCACTTCCACGCTTTTTTTTTTTTTTTGCAATGATCTTAAGCGGATTTAACATGTATATTAATATGCATGTGTACGTGCATCAGCCAATAGTTATAGATGGCCACATTAGTGAATCTCAACAATTCTTTGCACTTAAAGTATGATCTGTAACATTAGTGAGTCCCAAGAACAATGAAATATAGAGAAATATGGTCAGATTGTACTTAAAGTTTGATATACATATCTGAACCTGACAGCAAATATTGGTTTGGCACTAAGCCAATATATTGCTCTATATCTTTGTTACTGACTCCTCATATATGGCTGGTCGATGTAGTGTTTCTAGAAAGGATTCTAATCCTCGTTTATAAATATGTTCAAGGTTTTCTTTTATACTATATATTTAAATTCGCATTTTTCTAATCTGAAATTTTAGAAACATTCATCCAACCACTAGTCGTAAAGAAGATGATATCATATATAAAGCCCAAAAGGGTAACGAATTTATCGACTTTAAATTATAAAATATGGTCGCCGTGCTATATTGTCTGGTCCAAAAGATGTTCTGACGTAACACCGAGGCACGTCTCTTTTATCTACCAACTACGCATTTGACTAACTTTGCACATACTTGTAAATTTGCATCACACCATCAAATATATTATATATTATGATAAAATTCATAATCAACGCGGGATGTTCTCGTGTCTATTATATATACACAATACATATAAATTCACTGGCGACATCTGAATTAGTCTTCCTTAACCTACCACTCACTTTCATTAACATGACACCACACACCAAAGATGGATATTGTTATCAACGCCAATATCACCAAACATTGTCCAAGTCATATTTTCTAGTTGGGTTTCCCTTTCAGTCACTGTTTTAGTCCGAATTAATTATGTTTCTTAATCATCGTCCGACATAAGGGCTTAAGGCAAGTATGTTTAACACATCAAATAATTTATAATTAAAAATGTTCACATAACACACATTTTTATCCAATATTATTATATCATGAAAAATAGTGTCGTAACATTGAAAAAGACTCACAAACAAACAGAAAAGATTGTCTAGATCGAGTATGTAAAAAGCCTCGAAATTTCAATAGATTCAAGCGTCGAGTTTGCTTCCTTCGACATCAACGACGAACCTATAACGCACATCGTTCTTCTCGAGTCTTTCAAACGCAGTGTTAACATAATCCATCTTCACAACTTCGATCATTGAACTCAAACCCTTTTCCTTACAGAACTCGAGCATCTCCTCTGTTTCCTTCATGCTCCCTATGAAGCTCCCGGTTATCACTTTCCTCCCTAATTAGTAACATCATCACCATCCCCCATCAGTTAATTAATAATCCTCAAAAATCACAACTATTAAGTTTAGTTTTTTTATAAGTGACTCACCAAGCATAAGCAGGGGAGTGAGAAACTGCAAAGGATTGCTGATGACTCCCATGAGAATGAGCTTCCCATCAAGCTTAAGAAGAGACAGATAAGGCTCAAGTGCGTGATGAACAGGCACCGTGTCAATTACGTAATCCAACGAATCAGCCAATTCGCTCATCTTCGCTTCGTCGGATCCTATCACGTAATTATCGGCTCCAAGATCATGCAGAGCCTCTTCTCTCTTCTTGTTCGATGAGCTTATGACTGTCACATGGTGACCCATTGCTTTGGCTATTTTCACGCCCATGTGACCAACTCCACCTAACCCTAGTATGCCCCCTCTTAGGCCTGGTCGTTTCAGACCGAAGTGGCTCAGTGGACTGTACACCGTCACACCAGCGCAGAGTAGCGGCGCAGCCTGCTCAACCGCCATTCCTTCTGGAATCTTCACGACAAACCTAATTACACACAAACAAAATCGACCCTTTAGGCTCTAGCCATACATACCCTAACCTACTCCCCAAGAAACCAAAACATATACCTAAAGATACGATTTTTATTAGAATAAGCATATGTATCTCTTTGATTTTGGTATATAAAAAAACAAAAATCTTGAGAATCTTTAGTTACTATATGCCAAAATCGTTAGTTGAACAACACCAAGATTATGATGGAATGTAAACTAAATACTTCAAAATCATTGATCAAATAGCACAAAGATCATTAATTGTCACCAGATTTCAAATCACCGAAATCAAGATGAATTAATTTACGAAGATCATGAGTATAGAGAAAATCATAAAAGCTGAAACAAGAAAAGGAAAAGGAGTTAATACTTTTGGTGAACGACGGTGGCTTTAGCGAAGCCGCCTTGGGTGGGTTGACCATCGATGTAAACATCATTGTAGCTCCAAATCTTCTTGGGACAATACTGTTCCAGATCCCTCTCACAGGGGCTGCAACCTCCACAACACCCAACGAGGCAACCAACTCCGACTATATCCCCTACGGTGAACTTGCTCACACCTGATCCCACCTCCTCCACTTCCCCTACCACTTCATGCCTAAAAACACCAAACTCCACCTCATCAGATTCAATACTAAAATCTCATTTTCATCAGAAGAAAGAAGAAAGAAAGAAAGAATTACCCAGGAACCATGGGGTAGTTAGACATGCCAAGATCATTTTTGGTTTGGTGAAGATCAGTGTGACAGATTCCACAGCAAATGATTCTTATGCGTACATCATCTGCTCCAGTCTCTCTGTAATCCAAACAAACCAAAACTGATGAAAGTGAAAAAAACCAAGAAAACTCAAAAAGAAGAGAGAAACAAAACACAAGGAACCTGAGAGTGTAGGTGTAAGGGGAGAGAATCCCAGAAGGGTCTCTAGCAGCCCAGCCAGTTGTTTTCCTCTCTGCCTCCATTATTCCCATTTTCTTGATTCTCTCTCTCTCGGTCTCTCTTTATTTTTAGATGATTCTTTCTTGATCTGCCCTTTGCACTCTTTTTGCTGTTTATGTGGGTATTAGTAGTGTATATATATATATAGAGAAAGTGGGAAACGTAACGCATACGTATGTCTGATGAAATAATTGGTCTCGTGCAATATAGTAGGCGTACATATTTTTTTTGGTGGCTTGATTGTAAATTTTGTGTATATTATTGACAAATTTAGTCAAAAGCTTTCAATTTTGTAGCCACTTAAAATATCCTTCTAGAAAAGGAAATTTTCTTCTTCTTCTTCTTCTTCTTAATATTATGATTTTGTATAAACTATAATATTATATGGCTGTGGCTTATTAGAAATGTAGGTGAGAGATTATTGAAGAAGCTTACATACCTTAAAATGAGATTTCTTCCCATGATTAAATTTCATAAGTATAAGAATGTGATTTTATAAAAAAATTGTACACTGTTTTGCCAACTCGAAATAGCAAAAAGTAAGATTGAATAAAATATTTGTGTAGTTTGAAAGGAAGGAAATAAAACCACTAATTGATGTGGACACGTCAGCCAAAGAGAGGGTCCACGGGGGTTGGTGAACAAAAAAACACTCGTCTGGCCACGTGTTGTTTGATGCTTTAGCTACTGAGATGTGCAAACTATAGTTTTGACGGCCCAGATCAACTTATTATATATATACTCGGACACCAATTAAAACAAAAAAGTTACAAGATTTAAGGATATGAATTCTAATTTTTTTATTGCGTGTAAAAAATATGTTGGAAAATGGAAATTCTACATATTCAGATAATATGGAAGTCTCTGTTATGTTATGTGGTGCATACAATAGTGAAAATAATATTTTTTATTTTTTTTAGAAGTCGATTATGTGGTCATGCACCACCTTTTTCAATCCAATAATATAGGATCTCTCTTTAATAATTAAGCAGAAAGAGTAACAGTTGAGAAAAAAGAGTAGACGAAAAAAGGCACAACAAAGAGTGTGTGAAAGGCTTCTCAAAAAGCCCATTATCACCCATTCATTCATTTCACCTACACCCAATAACATAAGTCGGACCTGGTCCAGTTAATACTTAATATGTATAAAAAATTCGAAACACACCAGCATGAGCCGTTTCACGTTATCTATCTTCCGAGTTTCTTTGAAAATTATGTACTACACTTTGAGCTGACTTGTGGCTGTTAAATGGGACTATTGCTTAAAATTACGCACACTTGTCTCCTCGACACGTCTCGCTTACGACCACACCCTTCTTGTTCAACCTCCTCTCTCTCTCTCTCTAATAACATACCATTGTCTCCCCAATTTGTGATTTTTTGATAACTGAACCCAACTTATGACGAAGCTTCTACAGATGAATCATACCCTTTGTTTTGCCAAGGGGTTTTCACGTTCCAGGTATTATACTTGCTCATCAGGTTGAGATTGTGCTGTTCGATTCTGTTTCTCGCAATACAAAGCCTGTCTCTTTATCTGAATTGCGTTTTTGGGTTTCTCATTTTCTGTATAAAAGAGTTACCTTTTTGGTTAATTTGGTGTCAGAGATGGAACAGGAGTTACTTTTAGATGATTGGGTCAATGAATAACTGAGATTGATACAATCAGGATTCCAATTAGAGCCATTTTTAAAAACCAGATTGGATAATGTAATGGCCACTTGCTTGTTGCAGATTGAATGTTGCAGCTTCACCCTTTGTGATATCTGGTGGTGGATACTGCAGCAAAACTTGCATCCCTTATCGCTTGAAATTGTGAGCACCTTTCTTTTTCTTCTTTCCCCCCTTTTACATATTTTTAATTCAGGAAAGTGGGTCGTTATTACATTCTCATTTCATGATTACGTTTCTATGTTGTAAAAGTGGACTCTTAAGTTAAAAGGAACAGTACTATGCTATTGCTGCCATATAATCTGTGTTATGCTTACATTTCTACAGAGTTATGGAAATATAATTGAGACAATGATTATTACTCTTGCTTCTCTCACATTGTGGTTTTGATCTTTGGAGTCCAGTACTTGCTACGCAACGCTATCTGCTGTGGTAAAGGAGCAAACATCAGATTTTAATGGAAAAGAGGCGGCTTTGCTTGTAGATGAGCTCAGAACCAACTTCAACACAGGCAGAACAAAGAGCTACGAGTGGAGAATTTCTCAGCTTCAAAACATTTCTAGGATGCTTGACGACAAGGAGAAATGCATCACCGAAGCTTTGTATCAAGATCTTTCCAAGCCTGAGCTTGAAGCTTTTCTAGCTGAGGTTTTTCATATTATTTCAATGTTCCTTTCCTTCTCTACATTTCAGTTTTCCACATGTTGAATCACTTTGGTGTCATATTTGTATTCTCAGATTTCAAATACAAAGTCATCCTGTACCCTTGCAATCAAAGAATTGAAGAAATGGATGGCTCCAGAAACGGTAACTAGTCCGTTCAATCATTTTTTTCTTCATCGATATGTTTCCATTCTAAACCACTTGCCTCATCTATGCTTGAACCTTTCAGGTCAAAACTTCGGTGACAACATTTCCCTCATCTGCACAAATAGTCTCAGAACCACTTGGAGTTGTTTTGGTCATCTCAGCCTGGAATTTCCCTTTCTGTAAGCTCAGTTTGCTTTCGAAATTTTTGTCTCATTAGTAGAAATATAAAGTTTATAAGTCCGAAGTCTTTTTGGTGTTTTTCTTTTCCCCAGTATTGTCTGTTGAGCCAGTCATTGGAGCTATTTCAGCTGGCAATGCGGTTGTGCTAAAACCTTCTGAAATTGCTCCAGCAACATCTTCTCTTTTAGCAAAGTTGTTCAGTGAATACTTGGACAAAACAACAATCAGAGTTATCGAGGGAGGAGTCCCTGAAACAACGGCACTACTGGATCAAAAATGGGACAAGATATTCTTCACTGGTTTGCCCTCTCTCTGTTTCTTTTAAGAATTTTAGAATTTTGATTAGGCTCTCAAGGAAATATGATTTTAAATAGTCAAAAGTCCTTAATTAGGTGGTGCTAGAGTTGCTCGCATTATAATGGCTGCAGCTGCGAAAAATCTTACTCCAGTGGTTCTAGAACTTGGTGGGAAATGCCCAGCTCTTGTCGATTCAGATGTTAATCTACAAGTTAAGATCTATTTCTGCTTCTGAAGCACCAAATAAACGATGCAGGTTTCATAAACTAACCGTGGTGTTGTGATTGAAGGTGGCTGCCAGGAGGATCATAGCAGGGAAATGGGGTTGTAACAATGGACAAGCTTGCATTGGCGTCGATTACGTGATCACAACAAAGGATTTTGCATCAAAATTGGTAAATGCTACTTGAAATAAAAGCCAATGTACCACAATGCTCTACTTGTTTCTGTCAAGTTCTCTGATGCAAATCATGCAGTACAGATAGATGCTCTGAAGACTGAACTGGAGACTTTTTTTGGGGAAAACCCATTAGAATCGAAGGACATTTCACGTATTGTGAACTCTTTCCACTTCAAACGGTTGGAGAGTATGTTAAAAGAGAATGGAGTTGCCAACAAAATCGTTCATGGAGGCCAAACAATCGAAGAAAAGCTGTGAGAGAAAATGTTTGCATTTGATTAAAATTTTGTTCATGAGAATCAAAACTAACTGACCACGTATTATGTCATTTCCTTTACAGAAAAATATCTCCAACGATAGTAGTGGATGTGCCGGAAGCATCTTCCATGATGCAAGAAGAGATATTTGGACCATTACTTCCTGTAGTTACTGTTGCAAAGATTGAAGACGGTTTCCAGGTTATACGTTCAAAGCCAAAGCCATTAGCAGCGTATCTCTTTACAAACAACAAAGAGTTGCAGGAACAATTCGTGCAGGGCGTGTCTGCAGGAGGAATTAGCATCAATGACACCGTTTTACACGTAACTAAGTCTTTTTTCATATAAAACTGATGTTCTGTTTACCATTATGCTAAGCTCTCACTAAAGATGGTATGTTTTCTCTGCAGGTAACACAAAAAGATTTACCATTTGGAGGGGTCGGTGAGAGCGGGATTGGGGCTTACCATGGGAAATTCTCGTATGAGACATTTAGCCATAAGAAAGGAGTTCTTTACCGAAGCTTTTCCGGGGACGCTGATCTTAGATACCCTCCTTACACAACGAAAAAGAAGATGGTGCTGAAAGCTTTGATCTCTTCAAACATATTTGCTGCAATCTTGGCTTTCTTCGGGTTCTCTCAAGACTCATCATGATCACATGTTATAATCACCGTAACTTGCTGATATTTTACAAACAGAGATAAAAAGATTAATGTGAAAATTAGGTTATGAATAAAAGTTATATAATACATATCTACCATACTTGGATCTTGATTTACAAGTTACACAACAGAGTTAAGTTGAAAAATGCATATTTTTCTACAATGCTACCGTGAAACTTAACCGGAACAAATTCATATACTAATAATCAAATAATCAAGGCCAAACCAAAATTACATCAGAGTTCTCCCGACACCGTAGCCAAATCTAAAACGTTATAGCCGCATCTACATGCTCTCCTCTAGGGACTAATTATTTTATTTTTTGTATTTAAGAGAGATATTTTACATAACTAAAAAAATGTACAACTAGCATTAATTAATTATAACAAAACTGTTGTGGCAGCAAACTATATTGAATTCCAGATATGGTTGAGAGGAATTTGAGATCTAGTTTCACATATAAAATTGGTTAGGACTTACTTATTAGGTTAAACTGATAAAGACCAATAATGTCAAATAACCTTTAATCGTACCATGTTCCATCTAACACGATACACACTCCCTAGTAATTATTAGTAACATAAAACAAAATTCAATTTAATTAGTTTGGTTATGAACACCATTCTAAATATGGTTCTCCTTCCCAACCATATAACTCCTCTACTACATTACTATAAGATAAGACACATTGAGATCTGTGAACCTAGCTGTTCTTCAGCTTTGAATTATAACAAAAACAAATCGAATATAAATTCCTTATATACATTACGAATGTGTTGTGCCCATCCTAAAATGACTTGTATCTACTCTTCCCATTCTCATATTCAATTTATATTGGATAGATGAAATTGCATTTAATGTCTTAACATCACACGAAAAGGAATTGTTTATGCTATTTCTTTTGTTTCTTGTACAAAGATTGATGGGTATGCTTCTTTTTTTGTGTGTAGGTTATATGAGATTGCACTATGTAAAATCAAAAGGTAAAAGTAAAACCCATGTGTGTTTTTTTTCTTGTTGGTTTTGACTCAAAAACAAATGTCTTAATTTTTTCTGAATTCTGAAGCAAGATTGAAGCGAATTTTACGGACATGACTCATGCTAAGTTGGTGGTTGTTTGTTTACTCGCATTTAAGTGCTACTACGTACTACCTTGAGTGCTGAAATTTTATTTGTTTTTTTTCATTCGAGAAAAATAATGCACATCTTTTTGTTTAATCGAGTTTGATCTCTTCTTCTAACGTCATATATACATATTTAATAGCAGATCCATGTATAGATCGTGTGTTCAAATAGATTATGCTAACAAACAAATTAATGAACAAAAATATCGTGGCTTAAACCAAAAAATGTTCTTTTATAAGGCAATTTTAAAACGACATATGGTATAAATAGAAGCATGCAGCATATTTTTATACACCATATATATATACCCGTTCTAAAGAAAGGGAGAAAACAAAACTTGGACAATTTTCAAAAAAAAAAAAAAAAACTTAGTAATTAGTTTGACAATGTTCTTAATTAGGTCGATAAAGTTGTGTGTTTTATTCAGTAATATAATTGTGTGCATACACCACCACTTTTGGATCAGAATACCCACGCCGGAATGCAAAACAATTTCATCATAGTTACTTAGTTAGTACATTCATCATCATAGTGATAAACCATGACTAAAATCGCAATAAATAAATAAAAATTGAAACTTGACCACTAAACTAACAATAGTAAAACTTTGAACCACCATAAGTTTAATTGATACGATGTGGTTTGCCGGATAATCCATCTGCTAGTGGCGGGTCGGGCCTGGCCAAAAAAGCATGGTCACGCATGCATGCATATCTTATTATTCGCTGTGAGTGAACTGACAAACCGCAAAGTGTCCATCCATATTTACACTTTTTTCTTAAATGTGGCGATCGATCGAATCTATATATTTTTATATATACGTACATAGTTTTAAAACTCAATATTATATGTCTCTCCACATGGTTTCGGACCACGATATGAGGTTAGCACCTTACTAATACCCCTTATCCGTTCCAGTCAGGTGCCGTAATCGGCACACATCCTCCCCCCTAAGCCCGTATGTATATATAAGTTGGTTTAATGGGGTACTGTAATATTGGTTCATTAATCAGTAGGTTAGTGTTTGAATATTTATTCACTCAAATCCATTTTCCAACATTGATTTTGTTTTTTGAAAAACTAAAAAACCCTAAAATTTATAGAACTGAATCACTGATGTCTAATGACTTGTATTATTCTCAACACGCATATGATCAAATTTTCTACGTAAATAGTTGCACCTCTGCTTGATGACTTTCATTTTTGTTTATTTCTCTAATCTTCGTGAAACAAGAACATATCGTGATAACTGATTAGCAGCATGTTACTCGACTAGTCTTTAAGAATTACGCGTTAGAAAATGATTTCATCACCTATTAATAAATTACTAGTATAAATAGGTGAACGCATTATTACCAAAATTCGAACCTGAAAGTAAATCCAAAGTTTAAACCAGTCTCACTCTACACAAAGTTTGAAGCTAAAAATAAAACTTGCAATCTTGGTTTAGGTAGTTACCATAAGAAGAAAAAATATCACAAGAAATATATAGTTCATGTGATTGATTATTTATTTACGATATAAATTCATTGCATGAGCAGTCACTCTCACTAGTCACTAGTGCTTCTCTCTCTCTCTCTTAATCAATCAACCTCTATAAATGTAAAACGAGTCAGAACGAACGATCAAACACCACATCAATAGTTTAAAAGAGAAAACATATCACTAAAATGGATCCCCTGCTGAAGAAGGTTAAAAACTTGTTCAACTACCTCATGTCCCATCTCTTCAAGCTCTGTTTCTCATCGTTAATGGTTGCTATAGCCATGGAGGCGTCTCGTCTTTCCAAACAAGATCTTTATAACTTTTATCTCTACATACAAAACAACCTCACATCTCTAACCATATTCTCCCTTTCTCTCGCTCTCGTGTGTGCTCTTTACTTGATGGCCCGACCAAAACCCGTCTACCTCGTTGACTTCAGCTGCTACCTTCCACCGTCACATCTCAAAACCAGTATCCATAAGATCATGCACCACGTAAGGCTTGTTCGAGAATCAGGCAGGTGGAAGCTAGAGTCCGATTACTTGATGGACTTCTGCGAGAAGATCCTAGAACGTTCCGGTCTAGGCCAAGAGACGTACATACCTGAAGGTCTTCAAACTGTGCCACTACAGCAGAGTCTGGCTGTGTCGCGTAAAGAGACGGAAGAAGTCATAATTGGAGCGGTTGATAATCTGTTTCGCAACACTGGAATAAGCCCGAGTGATGTAGGTATACTGGTGGTGAATTCAAGCACTTTCAACCCAACACCTTCGTTATCAACTATCTTAGTGAACAAGTTTAAACTTAGGGATAATATAAAGAGCTTGAATCTTGGTGGGATGGGATGTAGTGCTGGAGTCATTGCTATCGATGTGGCTAAGAATTTGTTACAAGTTCAGAGAAACTCTTATGCTCTTGTGGTGAGCACGGAGAACATCACTCAGAACTTGTACATAGGTAACAACAAATCAATGTTGGTTACAAATTGTTTGTTCCGGATAGGTGGGGCAGCAGTTTTGCTTTCTAACCGGTCTAAAGACCGTAAACGTGCAAAATACGAGCTTGTCCACACCGTGCGGGTCCATACCGGAGCAGATGACCGATCTTATGAATGTGCAACTCAAGAAGAGGATGAGGATGGGATAGTCGGGGTTACCTTGTCAAAGGATCTACCTATGGTAGCTGCAAGAACCCTAAAGATCAACATCGCAACTTTGGGTCCACTTGTTCTTCCCATAAGCGAGAAGTTTCACTTCTTCGTGAGATACCTGAGAAAGAAGTTTATCAACCCCAAGATCAAGCATTACATTCCGGATTTCAAGCTGGCCTTCGAGCATTTCTGTATCCATGCGGGGGGCAGAGCGCTTATAGATGAGATGGAGAAGAACCTTCACCTAACTCCACTAGACGTTGAGGCTTCAAGAATGACATTACACAGGTTTGGTAATACCTCTTCGAGTTCCATTTGGTACGAGTTGGCTTACACAGAAGCCAAAGGAAGGATGAAGAAAGGAGACAGGATTTGGCAGATCGCATTGGGGTCAGGTTTCAAGTGTAATAGCTCTGTTTGGGTGGCTCTTCATAACGTCAAGCCTTCAGCTAATAATCCTTGGGAGGAATGTCTGCACAAATATCCAGTTGAGATCGATATAGATCCAAAAGAGTGAGTGATCCCATTGATCGTTATAAGTTGTGATATACGAATTAAGAGAGAGACGTATATGGACTGGTTCGTAAATGATCATACTTTGGTCGGTCCAAAAGTTTGACAAGTAATCTATCATTTCTTCTCTATATGCATTGAGCTCTTTTAATCGTTGTGATGCTACTACCCCGCACGCTAGTTGACTATTTAAGTGTAAGATTCGTTGCGTGGTAATCGACTTGTTTTCCACTTCATATATAAAATATGATTGCTCTTGTGTCCTTTCTTACAAATAATGTGTTATCAAGTATATTTTCATTATATATACATAAAGGAGAAATGTAACTTCTTCATCCAATTTGTGAAAACAAGAGAGTGGTGTACTTGTAGACATTGCAACAAACTTCAAAAGGGTTCAATAATTGCAATTATAATGTCATAAGCATGTTAAGCTATCCCTTTAAAAACGGGAAGAGGATATTTAGCAAATCGATATCGCGTGTGACTGTGAGATGACGTAACTGTTCTCGGTACAAGACTTTGGTGTATTTGAAGATTTGTCCTTACACACGAAGCAACTTGAGAAGAGACCATCATTTTCGAATTCTCTTTAACCGTGTGTGACAATCAATTCTCTTACGTTTGGTTCTTTCAGCCTACTATGTTACTACTAGACGACTCAGAGCCATTCGTATTTATTATCACAAAACAGAACAGTTGGAACAGAAATCATTAATACCCAAAAAATTGTTAAGTCCAACAATATGTCAATGTCACAAAGTTCCATACCTAACTATTAAATAAATATATTGTGGGAACAATATTAAATCCATGATGCATAAGATTTTACCGTTTTT